GAAAGTCTTAAGACGAATTTTTGAAAACCAAGGATGTATAGGAACCGTAACTGTTGGATATTTATATGATCTAAAAGAAACAAAGAAATAATAACAAAACTCATCAAAGGTTTACTTAAGGAAGTTATGTAGTTGCATCTATGACTGTTTGTCCTTAATCAGTACAACAGCAACGTCTTGAGTATACACGCTACTGGTTTCACGTTGACTTATGAAGACTGGCAAGTCCATTGCATTATACACACTATACATTATGAAGAAGTAAAATAAAAAATAAACTCGCAAGGCCAAATGAAGAAAAATTCAAAATGGAAAGTCCCCATATCAAATAGCAAAATCAAAAGCTCAGGCATATCAAACGAATGGAAAACAACTGTCATATTCCTGACTTGGTACATGCAGACATTTTCTTATGTAGAACATGATTGATTAAACCTGGTTTTATAGCTAGCTAAACTTCTCGTTTGTGTGGCAGTCGGATACAATTTCATTATGTTGTCAACAATGTGTGAATAAAACAAAAAGACATATAATAGGTAATATGTAGAACCTCTGAAGGTGCTTCGATAATTGGAAGTTGTAATGATGTACATGTATATGCACTGAGAACACTATATAACAAAGTTTAACATGCTGTAATTGATGTAAACTTATTTATACCTTAGACACAGGTGTGCACACATGTTTACTTTGAAGTTTAACGATTTACATATAATGTTATTAATATATATCTTCCAACTATTTATCTCAATATTCCGATATTAATCACACAGGAAAATCCTGATAGAGGAAAATAATCTGAGATAATGTTATACTTCTTGTTGATAAACTGCTAGGAAAAAACTTCTGAGAAATATATCAACTTCAGTGCGTTGTAAGATTAGTTAACCTATATAAATTCCTGTTTTAAATTAACGTTTTGCTGCTATTAATAAACCTTATATATATACATCAAAGCATTTACTAATCAAATTAATCAAAGTCACGCTTTGTAACTACTAATAATTACATTAAATGTATGTTTCAAAAGAATCCGTTATTTTGATTGGATAACAACGCTTGTGCGTCATACTAAAATTCACCTTCATATCCCAATGAAGTTTCACATACATTATGACATGTGCTATCACAAAAAAGTGCACAGGTTATTTAAAGAAATAAATGATAAAAATCGATTTTTCATGATAATAGCGAAAAAATGTATTTATAAGTATTGAATGCTTCTTTTAGTAATTTCATAGGGTTGTAAAAGCGTTGACCGTGCCCACATATTTAGAATGAAGCGCTTCCGCGCTTCATACAAAATGTACTTCGGTCAACGCTTTTACACACAAATGAATTTACAAAAAGAAGCATTCAATTCTTAAGTATTACTCGTCTGTGTCAATTTTGATACAGTACTTGTTTATATTTAATACTGTAATTAAACATATATGTAGGTCCATAGAGGAGTGGGGCTATACCAGCCTCAACTTCTAATGGAAATGGAGAGTGCGTCAAAGAGACAACCCTAAGAGCAGAAAAAAACCCAGGGCCACCTTCTTCAACAAGGCGAGGAAATTCCGAACACGGAGGCTGGCTTCACCTGGCCACTAAAAAATAATATGTTCTAACATACAAGGCTAATAAAGACCAGAGGCTATTGACCTCGTACAGGCGCAAACATACGGAGGGTTAAACATGTTTTGTGAGATCTCAATCCCTCATACCTCTAGCTAATGTAGAAAAAACTAACACAAATCAATACGCACAGTAAAACTCAGTTTACAAGAAGTGGGAGTCTGATGTCAGAATAGGTAACAAATGAAACTAAGCAAAATGACAATGATACATAAATTAACAAAGGACTACTAGCACAATCCCTCTCGTAAGGGGTTAAGTATACATTTAGTGTCCACTATTACAATCAGTCTTAAATTTCAGATGTATATCTAACGCCACAAGACACTTGCAAGATTTGGTCTGATACACATGGTTGCAACCAACATGTGTGTTTGGTTAGAGACTATTGTGGTGGAGACTATACTAGAAGTGTAGAAAACTTCAAAAATAGAAACTTCTGCCACAGTCATGCCTCTCGTGGAAGGAACAACTTCTAGTTCAGTAGAAAATAGTAAGCTGTTTATAGTATTAAATACATGCATATTGATTAAAGAAATATTGTGCATAAATATTTACTAGTACATGAAATGAATAATCATCTCTATATGTAAACAGGGTGTATAGAAATGAAAATTTGGGGCACAATGCGACTAAGTTCAATGTATTATGACGTTTTTAAAGGATATTTATTTTTCTTATTTTTTTTACTGTATCGCCTTCCTTCTACGTAGTAGAAAGGTGTCACAGAAAAAACTAAAAAAAGCCTTTCAAGACGTCATAATCATTTGGACTAAATGCAACTCTGAGAGATTGGACAACTCTGAACAGGTGAATAGTAGGGTATTTCAGCGATATCTGGATATTGGCTGATTCAACATGGAGGTGGAAAAAGTCACGCCCAGTCTTTCTCCAAGACAAAATTAACAAGGTGTTAAAAAAAGTAAGGTTGAGATTGATTTTTGGGTTATGACCCTTCCGTTTTAGGGAAAAGGTACTAAAACAATATTTCTGTAATACTTGGTATGAATTGCTTATTTCTTGACCAATTTCAGTGGGGTTTAATTCAAAGTCTTGAAGTCGTGGGTTTTTTTAATATGCTGAATCTAACCGGGTATTCAGATTTTTGATTTTCGGCTCTTTTTCAAAACTGGTCCACATTAAGGTCCATAGTATCCAAAATTAAACTTGAATTTTGTCAAATAAAAAATTGAATTCTTGCGATTCTTTAAAATAATGAATCTAAACATATAATTGGATTTTTTTTATTAGGCACAGTTTTCAATTTGGTTGGAATTAAGATCCAAAGTTAAGCTAGTTTGATTTTAACAAAAAAATGATATAGGTGGTTCTTTTATATGCTGAATTAAAGGGTGTATTTAGATTTTGGATTTTGGGAACTGTTATCAAATTGTTCCACATTGCGGTCTTAAGGTTCTAAAATTAAACTTTGTTGGATTTCTTCAAAAAATTAACTCGTTGGGTTCTTTGTTATGCTGATTTTAACCATGCATTTTGATTTTGAAGTTCTTTGACCACATTCACTTTATGTCACAAAACTATGCTATGTCTAATATGCAATCGCAATCTAAATTCAGAGCTTTTTTTAGCTTGAATGTAGTGTCCATACTTGCCCCAACTGTTCATGATTTGACATCTGCGGTCGTATCAAGGTGCGCCTAGCGGAGCCTTTTATTTCCAATAGTTTTTGTTTTTACCTATCATCTTGAAAACTATGATAGATAGATAGATTGAAAAAGACGATCAAAGAGGGGGCGGTGTGAGCTACATTACAGCTTTTTTACATCAGGTATGTTGTAAAATCCATTTACATGTTTAGATTCAGCATTTCAAAGAATCGCAAGAATTCAATTTTTGTTCAGATCAAACTAAACTTATGAAGAATCCCAACAAAGTTAAATTTTGGATACGTTGGACTTTAATGTGAACCAGTTTGAAAATAAGCCCATATTCCGTATCAACTTCACAAATAATTCACGATGATGTTGAAGTATAGATTCTGGGTACTGACGGTGTCTTTTATCTTAATAACGTGTTATAGTATTCTTTTATTTGTCTTTATGAATATTACTTTTACAATTTATAGATATAAGAAGATGTGGTATGAGTGCCAATGAGACAACGCTCCATCCAAGTAACAATTCATAAAAGTAAATCATTATAGGTCTAAGTACGGCCTTCAATACGGAGCCTTGGCTCACAAAGAACAGCAGGCTATAAAATGCCCCCAAAACTACTAGTGTAAAACCATTCAAACGGAAAAACCAACGGTCTAATCTTTATAAAAAACGAGAAACGAGAAACACTTATGAATATAAAAAAGAAGATGTGGTATGATTGCCAATGAGACAACTCTCCACAAGAGACCAAATGACACAGAAATTAACAACTATAGGTCACCGTATGGCCTTCAACAATGATCAAAGCCCATACCGCATAGTCAGCTATAAAAGGCCCCGAAATGACAATGTAAAGGCCTAATTTATGCACAAAAAATGAACAAAAACAAATATGTAACACATAAACAAACGACAACCACTGAATTACAGGCTCCTGACTTGGGACAGGCACATACATACAGAATGTGGTGGGGTTAAACATGTTAGCGGGATCCCAAACCTCCCCCCTAACCTGGGACAGTGGTGTAACAGTACAACATTAGAACGAACTATAAAAATCAGTTGAAAAAGGCTTAACTCATCAGATGGATAAAAATACAAATAATACCACATCAACAAACGACAACTACTGTTTTTAGTGATATCAATTTGACGTAGCTCTGTAATTATTCAGCCCGTCATTGTTTTATTGTGCTATGGTAAATTTTTGTATTCTTGTCTTTCATTTTTGCTTATGTGATTTGTCTATATGCCTTTTTTATGTTTCTTTGTTACATATGACATGGTCCTGTACTTATACATCCCGTCTTGTGTTATTGTGCTATGATAAGTTTTCGTATTCTTGTCTTTCGTTTTTCCTAGCGTGCTTTATCTATATGCCGTTTTGTGTTTCTTTGTTACATATTTGTTTGTTTTTATACTGATTAAGATTATCACACAATGTTGACTGCCGTACCCCTATTTTTGACATGTTTACCCATTGTGTCTCGTTTGTATTGTTCACACATCGTTGTCAATACAATGGAATTTTTTACAAGTGAGAGGTTTAGCTAGCTATTAAACCAGGTTTCATCCACCATTTTCTACACGAGAAATGCCTGTTCCAAGTCAGGAAATAGACAGTTGTTATCCATTCGTTTGATGTATTTGATCTTTTGGTTTTGCTATTTAATTACGGACTTTCCGTTTTGAATTTTCCTCGGAGTTCGGTATTTTTGTTATTTTACTTTTTTTGAGTTTACACAAACCATGTCAAACAACTAATTTAAAATTATTTATACGCAACATGCATTTTACCAAATGATATGTGTGTATATTATTATACTTGTCAAGAAAACTGTTTGATGCAAAACTAGACAAATTCCACAAGAAGTATATGGCGTATAACACTTTTTGTTTATTCTATAACTAACTAGGACGTAGGAAGGAAGTAGATTTTAACAGATTTACAACGATCGTTCACCACCATCAGTCTGTTGGTTTCTGAATGAAATGTGAGATCTATCGGCGATTTGATCTGGTCTTTATAATTCAAAATAACTTTCACTTTTCTTTTATCTTTTGATATCATAAAAATATTGTTCGACATATATCCGGCAACATAAACATTACATTTGCCATCAACAGCTAAACCTCTTGGATCCACTAATTCATGACTGGAAAAGAATAGTTCTTGCTTCCCGTCAGGTTGTACAGTATGTATTTCGTTGTTGTCGAAATTTGTCCAATATATTGTCCCAGTATTACTTAAACAGACAGTTTTAATTTTTAAAGTTGTGACAATTTCAGACAGAATTTCTCCACCAATGTTGACTATGAACAATTTAGTGTATCCCGAATTTGCACAAATTCTTTCAGAATTGGCAGATACAGTCCAACAGAATCCACTAGGCGTTTTTATAAATTCATTTTCATGTTCATAACTCATAATGTCAAGGTATATAATTTGAAAACCGCGATTGTCGGCTGCAACAATAATTCTATTAGGATCGTATAGTGTTACACAACACGGTTCATACTTTAATTTGATAACTCCAAAATGGACGCCATCATCTTTAAAATAATGTAGTGATTTCTTATTACTATTACAGCACAGTAGCATATCTGCAGAAACAAAACAACCACTATTCACTAATATGCGTTCAGTGAGCAGGACTGCTTCGAAAGTTTTATCATGCGTAATACAACTGTAGGTTGGTGTTGAAATAACCTGCGATTGCAGTACTTGGTCTTTTCCGAAATTAAAAGTTTGTACTTTTATTGATAATTTACCTATTTCAGGTAGTATATCATGCAATATTTTTTCTGTGATCTGTGATTTAAATTTAAATTTTACCTTATGACTATAAGCTAGCATATCGGTCTCGTCGTTCTTTGTGCTTTTATCCCAAAATTTCACTGCTTTTAAGAATTGATAGTCCGTACCGCTTTCTTTAAGCCATTTGATTTCATCTGATCTTTTGATGAGGCGCTTTTCTATATCTTTTATCTTTTCTTTATCATGCTCAATTCTCTCCTTACATTCATTCATTTTATCGTTTAAAATGTCTTCCGTTTCATTTTCAATTTTATCGAGGTAATCATTTATCGTTTTCCGCACAGTCGAAATCTTATTTTTAATTTTGTCTTTCTTAGTCGACAGGTAATTGTAGTCATGCGTCTGCCTCGTTGAAACATTTCTTATTTTTCGATTCAGTTGTTCAATTCTTGTTTCAATGTCTGTGAATGCGCTTCCATATTTGGCATCTTTGATTGCTGAATTAATGGAAATGATCGATTCGCATTCACTGTGGTGATCCCTGGCACATTCTTTACAAATCAAAACATCGTGTTGAATGCAAAATTGTATTACTTTTTCGTCTGCATGATGATCACAGTAATCCGAAACTTTATTTAAAATATCACCTGTGTTTGGATCTTGTCTTGTCGTATCGCTCATATTGGAATTTTCTTCGGTTGACTTATTGAAAGATACACCTAAAGCAAAAATTAAAACAAATATAATCTTTTCTTGTGTTATGAAGAGAATGAGAGCCCATACCGGTACATTGTGGTTGCAGTTGCTGTCTCATTGATGTGTACCCGGGTATTTTTAATTCAGTAGCTTAAATGTGTGTGTAAAACAACAACATGTTCTTAATAACAATTAACACAATTCTGTGTTATTAAAAAGCTTCAAAGGTATTTATGAAAATGATTGATACAAAACATAAACACATTAATGCACGTCCCTTCAGTCGAATATTATGCGTAGTTTGTAGTTGTTATTATGTCAGTTTAAGTGGGCTGATATGGTAAGTCAATGATATACAGTTGTATTAGCATCTGTTTTTCATGGGATATCGTTTTTGGCTTACTGTCCCGGTAATAATTCGTTGACTTTGAAAAGTTTGCATAATTTACATCTAACTGTTTATGATTGGTCAAATATAGAACACCTAGAATAAGACAAACTATTTCAGCAGCTGTTTTATAAGTAATCATACCGATTGCTAACAAAACAGCTGCTGAAATAGTTTGATTCTAACGATATGGTCTCATTTCCACGATGAAGTTTTGCCTTTTGAGCTCAGTCAAAGTTGATTTATTTCGAAATAACATTAACGTTCATATTTTCTGAACCAAACGTGCATTTCAACAATTCATGTTTCTTCGATAATGCTCGAGGCCTAGCTTTATGGAAATCCAAACCTTTTAAAAAAAGAATAAGAAATAAAAAAAAATAATCTAATAAATCAAAAAGTATAACGAAAGAAGGCCAAGGAATAAAAACTTTGTTTATATCAGAATAATTCCCAAAAACTTTTAACAGTATTTTTATATAACACAATATCCGTATTTTCATGACAGTAACGAATAACCGGCTACTGGGCTAGAGATAACCTCGGGGGCTAATATTCCAACAGCAGAGGTATCGACCTTATGATAGTAATTACATAATCGATACCAAATTTCTGCACAAAAAAAGCATTTCGGCAATACATGTCTCTTCAGTGATGTTTGTTCTAAAATGAACATAAAAATAGTTTTGCCAATATTTGAATTTTATTAACGTCTATTAAAACGACGAACAGGCGTGACATATTTCTTTGTCAACATTTAATTAATATTTTTGAACTACGATGTCGAGATAATAATGGTGGAATAAATAACTCCGGGTTTAAAATTTTTAATCACATCTGGATCCTCACCGTTATTCGGAAATATATATAAATTAAATATATGAATAAATATTTTTATTGTAGAAGTAAAACATACATGTACATGTATACATAACTATTGCGATTTCTTTAATTTTTTTCTGTTTTGTCAAATGAAAGTAGGAACATACCTTGCAAATATAATTATCGCTAGTACCAGATGTTGTGCGTGTGAAACGGTTTAGTTAAAATTGACAACACTGTAAATTCAGTTTTCTCGCTTGTCATGTGATATTTAACTAATTTAATGTTTTGTAGTTTAACATTTAATTTTTGTGTTGTAGTCATATGTCATCTCCCTGTGGGTCATTTTACTTTTCAAATCAATTTTGTATTGCCAAATAATACTTCATAAAGGTTTTTGACAAGACATTTAATGAAACCATTATATTAACATTGATTAAGGATAATATTACATTATTTACGACGCAAAAATATTATACAATTATAAGCTCAATCAATACAGATATTATGATAAGGTATTTGCTTAAAAAGATATACGCTTAATATAAATTGCACCGATAAATAAATGTCAACAGAGCATTGTATTTTGAGTACTCATACTGCAGTGTATGAATAAAACGTTCTTTCATGCGATGCTAAATACTTATTGACAGATACAACGTATACACATTTGATTAGCATAGAGCGTAACATGAATTATTTATTCTATGGGACAAACACGAAAACGTTTTATTTCTAAGTGAATTTTAAAACTGCATGAGAATGTTAGAATGAACATAGAGGTAGATTGATTCCCTAGCTTTATACAACAATCAGTATTTCGATCAAAAATTAACGTTAACTTATCTATTTCTACATGAAATTGGCGCATGCAAAAGAAGTATGTGTCCCGTTGATGCGATATCATTATTCGAGGAAATGCGATAGTGAATAGCTGCATACTGTTACATTCCGTCAAGTTTAAAAATAAGAGAAAGTTTGTTAATTTAATTTGATGATGTGACTTATTAAACCCATTACTATCTTTGAACCAATGTTTTAGGTCGAAACAAATCCTCATTATAAATATTTATATGCCAACTAATAAAAATCATGAGGGTTTTTACATAGATTCATTTTCCAAAATCAGTGAAGGAAACTTTGCTAATTATGGCCATTGGTTGAAACTTAAAATGTTATTTTTTAATCCCAACATAATCATTGAAAGTATCTATAACACCACCACTTGCATTTTCCTGATTTTGTAGGTTGTTTTGATATCATTTAAGTTAAATAAAGTGATCAACATAAAAGTATGGATGATGACGCCATTATGGCCCAGCTCAAGTTAACATTTTTATACAAGCGTTACTGTTAGGTCTTTTGTAGAATAAACGTGCGTCTAGCGTACACAATTTTAATACTTGTATTTATGATGGAAATATTTCACGAACTTTGGATAGACTATATTCCCGAAGTAGGACTAGTCAACACCACCATCTTTGAAAAATGTTAACTCGGAAAATGAGTTTTGGCGAATTTATCAACCAGAAATGCGCATCAACTCGACCTTAACTAAACTATGGTACACGCTCGAAGTCGGTCCATGTGTGCTTTGGTATGGTTTTATAATTACAAAGTTATGTTGACGTACCTGCTTGACCGATGCAAAAGCCATTTAGACATTTGTAGTGTTTAATAATTTGAAATAAACAACATACCGTACAGATAAAAAACAAATCCAACCAGTGTTTTAAACTGAATTATCGAAGCAATAACGCTTTTACTATAAACTGAAATCTGATATCTAAGTCGTTTTATTTGTATAGTTATACACAAGTCATTGAATAGTTAAACTTTATTGTTGTCATATTTATGACTTTTTGATTATATCTTAATGATATTTGAAGTATTGATCCATAAAACACATACATTTGAAATAAAGTTATTAAAAGCCTTAGCAATATAGAAATACATTTAACTGTTGAACTATTTATGCCGTTGTAAGTCTTTTATGCATGCTGTCCCCTAACACATATTTTGAGTATAATCATTATGAACCTTGGTCTTAGAAAATAACAGACACGTTATTTTTACATTTGGTTGATACATTCAACAATACCTACTGTTATCTGGATGATATTTTTTCGATGAATAATCCAGAGTTCTCTAAATATACTACTGAAATTTACAAGAACTTACATAAACAGCAGTAGTTGCCCTTTTCTAGATTTAGACATTTCAATTTCTAAAGGGAAACTCCATACAAAAATTTACAACAATAGAGACGATTTTTCATTCCCTATTGTTAAATTTTCTTTTTTAGACGGAAATGTTCCTTTGGCTCCATCATACGGTGTTTATATATCCCAACCCGTTCGTTATTCCCGTGTGTGTAGTGATGTCATAGATTTTAACGAACGTAATCAATGCATCACTGGTAAATTATTAAGTCAGGGATTTCTTTACCATAAATTACATAAAACTTTTACTAAATTCTTTCATAGATACAAAGATTTGATAAGTAAATTTGGCTGTATCTGTAGAAAACTTATTAAAAACGGTACTTCACATCCTTAGTTTTACGGTAATATTGTACTAAAAGCACGGAAATCACTATGTGATCCGTGTAAACTCATCGAACCTGCACATGAAAAACACGAGGTTTTATCGAGCTCCGATTTTATAGTTTTATTGTTGATACTCACCCGAAGGAAGGTTATACAGACAGAAGAAGTATACCTATCAACAAAATTATTTTCATTTACCTGTGTTTAATTTTATTGCAAATGGCTAAATTTTTTTTCAAGGTTGATGTTTTTTTCTGAAAATGTTTTCACAGCGGTATAATACTTTTACTTTAATTATTCATCCCTAATTTTTATTAACTTTGTATTTGCATTGTATCATAGATCAATTTTTTTCGTTCAGTGTATGTTCATTCGTGTTACTACGTTTTTTTTATTGAGTTATGCCATTTCAATTGATATTTTATAGTGTGTCTTTCTATGTTGTGATGTTACACTATTGTTTCAGATAAGGGTGAAGGTTTGGTACCATTAAAACGTTTAAACCTGCTGCAATTGTTTGCACCTGTCCTAAGTTAGGAATCTGATGTTAGTTAGTTGTCGTTTGTTGATGTGGTTCATAAGTGTTTCTCGTTTCTCGTTTTTTATATAGATTAGACTGTGGGTTTTCTCGTTTGAATGGTTTTACACCAGTAATTTTTTGGGGCCCTTTATAGCTTGCTGTTCGGTGTGAGCCAAGGATCTGTGTTGAAGACCGTACTTTGACCTATAATGGTTTACTTTTATAAATTACGACTTGGATGGAGAGTTGTCTCATTTGCACTCATACCACATCTTCTTATATCTATATATAAATTCAAATCTCAGTTAATCCTTCATTGGTTTTGTGTCATTATAGCATACTCGTGCAATATAAACCTAGAATCTTTTGAATTATCTCAAAATGTATAAAATGACTTAACGTACTGATCAATATATCGATGGTTTCAAAATGTTCAAATTACTAGGATTATAAGTACATGCATGTGTTTAGCGGCTAAATGATAAGTTGCCCATACTAACAAGAAAAAGACGCATGCATTCATATTATAGTCTATACCAGTTTCTCCTGCAGTTAGATATTAAAACAGTATACATATATAATATATGAGTTATTAAAAATGTGTAAAAAAAAGTAAAATCACAAAAATACTGAACTCCGAGTAAAATTCAAAACGGAAAGTCCCTAATCAAATGACAAAATCAAATGATAAAACACATCAAACGAATGGACAACAACTGTCATATTCCACACTTGGTACAGGCATTTTCAAATGTAGAAAACGGTGGATTGAACCTGGTTTTATAGCGCTAAACCTCTCACTTGTATGACAGTCGCATCAAATTCCATTATATTTACAACGAAAAGAGTTACGCATGTAGAACGATTAAAAAGAGTATTTACAACTAAATGATACATGCACGAAGAAAGAAAATATAAACTGTGCTTTTATTGTTGTCAATCATCACAAAGTCACAGTTGTTATCAAATAGTCCATTTCTATGTTGGCGTTTATTTTTGTTGCAGTTCAGTGTTTCTGCTGTTCCAATTTTTTTCCTCATGTAGTTGATGTGCTTCCCTCGGTTTTAGTTTGTAACCCGGATTTGTTTTCTTCTCATCGATTTCTGACTTTTGAAAAGCTGTACACTACTGTTGCCTTTATTTTGACATTGTAAAATATATTGTGACTCCAGAAGTAGAAATAAAACATAAATTTATGGATAAGGAATTCTCATAAACCTATTAAACAATTACAAAGACAATAAGAACGATAAGTATTTACAATAAAACAGTGATAGTGCAAGGTTTATTGCATGTGGTAACACCATAAAACATTAACTGCTAAAGTCTGAGCTGGGAGTGTTTTTTTTTTTTTTTTTTAAAGCCCCTTTATTGAATTTATTGACCAATTACAAAATTAGGTTCAGTTTTAGTTTGTAACCCGGAATTGTTTTTTCTCAATCGATTTATGAATTTCGAACAGCGGTAAACTACTGTTGCCTTTATTCAAGTATCATAGATTAAATTCTAATCCAAAGATGAAGATTTCCGGGAGCATTTTACGAATATTTGATATTTCATGAGATAACTTAAAAAGTTAGGAGCATCCCGTTTTGGAAATCCAAATGCGAGTACCCTTTATCATTATTTTTTTCAAGTATTTGAATCATTCAGTTTGTTTAAACATGTTTTATTGTCCAAAAAAATTGACAATAGGATCAGACACATTTTTGGCAATTTAGAACGCCTTCTCCATTACATGAAAATATACAATATTTATATGGAAACAAAATTCAAACCCAAATCGTTCTGTTGTTGTTTTGTGAAAATCAGTCATATTTCATTGCAGATTTTGCGTAGTTTACAGTAAACGGTTGTGATAACGTCAGTTTAAGGGGACTTAAAAATAGTAGATCAATAATAGTAGCCATACAGTTGTATTAGTATGAGCACATTTTTTATTTAATGGAAATTAGCACCAACGCTTCAGTAATGGTTCATTGACATAAAAATGTCCGAATAATCTAAATGTTTATGATTGATCACTTGAAAAGAGGGGCAAAAGATACCAGAGGGACATTCAAACCCATAAATCGAAATTAAACTGACGACGTTTCTTTATACTCCAAAATTGCTATCACTTTACTTTTATCTTTGAATATTATTGAAACTTTGTACTACTAATATCCGGCCACATAAGCATTGTATTTCCTATATCAACAGCTCGACCAATGATTTAAGAATAGAGATCGAATTATTCCTTCTTTTCTTCAAATTGATAATTTTCGTGGGTACCAATTTTCGTGGATTATTGAAAAATCGTGCTATCGCGGATATTTGATTTCGTGGTTTTGTCAATGTCTGCATATTAGCTTATAGAAAATTTCTACTTCATTGAGTATAGAAATTCTTGTTTTACTTAACCCACGAAATTCACGATAATTTGTATCCCACGAAAATTAATGAATCCACAATAATCAATAGCAGGTATTGTTTTGTCAAAGCGTTTCACTCTAATGCCACGATCATTAATGTACTGTATCACGAATTGAATTATATACCATACACTACACGGCTCATTTTCTTATCCAATGACACAAACATGTTAAAGAACTGCGACAAGTTAACAAAATACAAAAAATATTACTAGTGCGTTATAACCTAATACTTAAAAAAATCACTGTTAAACTTATTTGAATAGAGCGTCACTAATGACTCTTTTGTACACAAAACACGTGTCTGGCGTTCAAAATTATGAGCCTGGTTAGTGCTAGCTATGAAACCAGGTATAATTCACCATTTTCTACATTAGAAAATGCCTGTACCAAGTCAAGAATATGACAGTTGCTGTCCATTTGTTTGAAATTTTGATTTTGTCATTTGATAAGAGACTTTTCGTTTTGAATTTTCCTCAGAATTCAGTATTTTTTGTGATTTTACCTTTGTCTTTGATCGGCAGAAATGGAACAACCACTGTTCCCCAATATGCTTTTTCTTGCTAAACTGGCTCATTGTTTTCTATAATAGTGTGAATGAAGGATACAAATTGGCAATCATATTCCATCTACTTATTCTATATTGTTTCTTTGAATTATCAATAAAATTCAAGAAATTTCACTTATACAACTAAACAAATATAGTAACGTAATGAAGCCTTTAAGTATATTTGATAGTTTTTCTTATTCTAAACCAAAAAAAAAAAACCCATATTGTCAAGAAAAGTTGTCTTTATAAAACATAATAGTTATCAAAGGTAACAGGGTTATATTTTGTTTTATCAATCTGATGACTGATGAGTTAAGCCTTTTTCAACTGATTTTTATAGTTCGTTCTTCTGTTGTACTGTTATACCACTGTCCCAGGTTAGGTGGAGGGTTGGGATCCCGCTAACATGTTTAACCCCGCCACATTCTGTTTATATGTGCCTGTCCCAAGTCAGGAGCCTGTAATTCAGTGGTTGTCTTTTGTTTATGTGTTACATATTTGTTTTTCGTTCATTTTTTATACATAAATTAGGCCGTTAGTTTTCTCGGTTGAATTGATTTACATTGTCATTTCAGGGCCTTTTATAGCTGACTATGCGGTATGGGCTTTGCTCATTGTTGAAGGCCGTACGGTGACCTATAGTTGTTAATTTCTGTGTCATTTTGGTCTCTTGTGGAGAGTTGACTGTCCCTCTGGTATCTTTCGTCCCTCTTTTGTCTCATTGGCAATCATACCACATCTTCTTTTTTTATATTATAATTCAATACGCCAGACGCGCGTTTCGTCTACATAAGACTCATCAGTGACGCTCAGATCCCAATATTTATAAAACCAAACAAGTACAAAGTTGAAGAGCATTGAGAACCCAAATACCGAAAAGTTGTGCCAAATACGGACTTTTAATTTTTGATTAAAGTCACGTAGCATCATTTTTTTTATTGATAGGTATTCGATTTCGAATCTTCAAACTGCTGACTTTGGAACATTGTGGTCGATTTTATCTATCTTAGATTTCTCTGTTTTTGTATGCCATACCAAAATCTATAAGAAAAAAGAAAGGAAATATAATTACTGAATTGCTATCTCGTTTTATGTAGGCAATGAAATTCTGATTTTCGTTTTTTTTTTACGATCAATGTCAACCACGAATTTGGATATGAAACACAATTTATCGATACGACTTTCTACAATATGTGTGTAAAACACGAAAATCTGAAAACCCGAAAGTGGTTCCAAAGAACTTAAAAGGGGAAGGAATGATAAAGCCGTTTATTGATCCATTGATCGTCGTCGTCCTCCTCCTCCTCCTCCTCCTCCTCCTCCTCCTCCTCCTCCTCCTCCTCCTCCTCCTCCTCAGCATCATTCCCTCCTCCTCTTTCCTTTTTTTTTTTAAATCAATGTATACATTCAAATCCTTTTATTTTTGTTGTTGATCATAATTTGTATTTGTCACAAGTATAATTGTGCTTATTTGACAAGTACTTATAGTTATAATCTTATTAGTATACCTTTGTGCAGTTATCAGCACGTGGTTCAATTTCATCAACTGTGCAACATTGTTCTAAAAATTTAATCTCCTCAAATCCATTATGAAAGTCTTTCATACTAGTAAATCTTGGATGATACTTCCACAGAAATTTAACATTTATAGTATATCTATTGGGAAGTTTCTGTTAGTATTCCAAGCTGAAAAACCAGTCATGCTTCAGTGATTCCCTATATAATCTACCAAATTTTCCCCACAAAAGGGGGGGACCAGGCCACCGGGACCCCCTAGATCCGCCTATGGAGATGTACTGAAAGTGTTAATATTTTACCTTTCGGATTAATTTATTTTGAAATTACCATATATCTAGATGTGAAATACATTTTCGAAGTCAAAGCTATTGTCAGATCCCATGTACTGCCTCCCATCTATTTTCCACAAAACACGTGACCAATTTTATTGTCAATTATTCAATCATGAGTTAAAAACTAAAGTGATGCTAGGTGTCCAAGAGATGAAGTATGTACGTGATGATTATGTATGATGTGCAGTCAGGGGCATTACTTTAACAAGTAATTTAAAATTACCTATACTAGTAATGTTGAAAACGAGGCTGTTTTAAAAATTACTTGTATAAGTGAATATTCTAAATAATATTATTATAGGTGTCCAATTTACAGATTTTACTAGTTTGAACAAATTTTTACAGTCATCTGGTTATTTTTCCCATGAAATATAAAATCTAATCCTTCTGAAACACAGGGTGTCCAAGGGATGAAGTATGTTCGTGATGATTATGTATGATGAATGCAGAACGTAAATGGTATGTGGTGATACTTGATAATACACGGTTAAACTTGGTGAAAATCTTAAATCAAAACATTATGGTTTACTTTTACAAATGGCGACTTGGATGAGAGAGTTGTCTCATGGCACTCATACCACATCTTCATATATCTATTATAATATCAACCTATTTGGCTATAAAGAAGAAAAATAAATGTAACACTGATCTGCTGATACCGTTTCGTACATCAAAGATGGCGTTTCGTACATAAAAGATGGTGTTTCGTACAGAAAAGATGGCGTTTCCTACATAAAAAAATGAGGTAGTCCTTGTTACATTAGATATACCTTTACAAATATAGATATAGGAAGATGTGGTATGAGTGCCAATGAGACAACTCTCCATCCAAGTTACAATTTATAAAAGTAAACGATTATAGGTCAAGGTACGGCCTTCAACACGGAGCATTGGCTCACACCGAACAGCAAGCTATAAAGGGCCCCAAAAAATTACTAGTATAAACCATTCAAACGGAAAAACCAACGGGCTTATCTATATAAAAACGAGAAACGAGAAACACGTATGAACTACATAAACAGACGACAACTACTGTAATCAGATTCCTGACTTAGGACAGGTGCAAACATGTGCAGCGGGATTAAACGTTTTAATGGTACCAAACCTTCTCCCTTTTCTGAAACAATAGTATAACATCACAACATAGAAAAACACACTATAAAATATCAATTGGAAGGCTTATCTCAATCAAAAAACGTTAATTAACACACAATGAACGAATAAATTTGACCTGTGACACCTGAATGCAAATACACAGTTAATAAAAAAAATACAAGGGATAAATAATTAAAGTCAAAAGTAAATAAACAGGTTTAAACAAAGTTAAAGTATGATATCACTGTGAAATGTCAAACAATTTTTAGAAAATCATCACTTTTGAATAAACCTGCGTCATATTATACACAGGTAAATGAAAATAATTTTGTTGTTAAGTACACTTCTTCTATTGTGTGTATAAAATCTTCCGTTTAGGAATACCAAGAAATTTTTTTAATACCAATAAAACTAACCTTACACTTGGTACATATGGGGTAAATATCAACAATAAAACTATACAATAAGTGCTAGATAAAACTTCCTGTACAGGTCCAAGAACAGCATCTAAGGAAAAATGAAATAATTTTGATGTTCATAGTACGAAGAAGTGAAAATTTGTAGTAATACCAAATAATCCAAGCTGGTATATAGACAAGATCCATGTTAACATTAAATAACAAAAAAGCATTACAAATAGTATCAACAGGTCAAATTAAAAAGAAAGTACGATTTGAGAGTACTCGCAGTTACTGACAGCTAGGTAAAAGCCAAAAGAATTAATAATAAAAAATCATGCATCAGAGACTAAAATCAACTAAAATACATCACAGGGATTAAGTATTTTAACGTCATGAACAGTCAAAGAAGACATGACTTGTGCAATGCCAAACATAAATGTATCGACAGGTAGTATGATAGTTAGGAGTGACTTCTTTAAAAATAAAAATGAACGTGTGTGTGTCTCTATGCATCCCGTTTGAAAAGAAAATACAAATTTAGTTATGTTTTAATTTGCTAATGACAAAATCGATATTAGTGCCAATGTAAACTATATTCAGAGATCTAATTACAACATTGGTACGATAACCCTTACTAATAAGTTTGTTTAAAGGTTCGATGAGATTACACGGATCACATAATGATTTCCGCGCTTTAAGTACAATATTACCATAAAATTTAGGATGTGAAATACCACTTTTAATAAGTTTTCAGGTACAGCCAAATTTACTAATCAAATCTTTGTATCTATGAAAGAATTTAGTAAAAGTTTTTAGTAATTTATATTAACGAAATCCCTGACTTAATAATTTACCAGTGATGCATTGATTACATTCGTTAAAATCTATGACATCACTACACACACGGGCATACCGAACGAGTTGGGATATATAAACACCGTATGATGGAGCAAAAGGCACATCGCCGTCTAAAAAAGGAAAATTAACAATAGGGAATGAAAAATCGTCTCTTTTGTCGTAAATTTTAGTATGGAGTTTCCCTTTAGAAATTGAAATGTCTAAACATAGAAGAGGACTACTGCTGCTGTTTGTGTTAGATTTAGTTAAAGTAAGTTTTTTTGGGTAAATTTCGGTAGTATATACTCTGGATTATTTAACAAAAAAATATCATCCAGATAACGGTAGGTATTGTTGAATGTATCAATCAAATGTAACAATGATGTGTCTCTACTGAGTATGTATTTTTTTTTGTATTTAGGCATCTGTATTGAATTCAACTTTCATTTTCTATGTAGACTTAATTTACGTCATTAATCAAAAGCTAATAGAATTACCTTAACACTATGACCTACATGTCTAGACTTGCTACATGTCCCTTCCTTATTTTTTTTCAATTTTGCCCTTTTATCAATTTTACTGCTATGACTAAGAGATTACCATTACACTGATTCCATGGGCAATCAGTATACTGGCAGTTTTCAGTAAACATATAAATTAATAAGAAAGAACTAAAAGAAGGGGAATTGTAGCAAGTCTACTAAAAACATGTCCTACATACAAAATCATACCAAAACAATATACATCTTATTATTTGTCAGAAGTTCTTAGCGTAGATTCAAAAACCTACACAAATCAAATGCTTAAACATGTTGTCATAGATAAATGTCTAAAATAAATACACTGTGTCCGTTTCTGGTTGATATCTGATCTAAATATTGATTTCAGAAAATGACACGTACTATTATATTGAAAGATTATCTAGTAAAGGGGACAAAAATACTCTGATTCAATAGCCTTACGGAGAGAATGGCGGACATGTCTAAGATGTCACGTGAGGTCTTCTGATTCAAAAGCATTACGGAGAGAAGGGCTGGCATGTCTAAGATGTCACGTGAGTTCGTCTGATTCAATAGCCTTACTGAGAGAATGGCGGACATGTCTAAGATGCCACGTGAGTTCGTCTGATTCAATAGCCTTACGGGGAGAATGGCTGGCATGTCTAAGATGTCATGTGAGTTCGTCTGATTCAATAGCCTTACGGTGAGAATAACTGGCATGTCTTAGATGTCACGTGATTTCGTCTGATTCAATAGCCTTACGGAGAGAATGGCTGGCATGTCTAAGATGTCACTATCTCAGATATTTTTCTTGAAAGCAGAAGCATAAATTCAGTAATTGGTATCACAAAGATTGACGTTTTTGTGTTATTGTCATATCCAAGGCGTTCAATGCGTATTTCAACCTTGCGTACTTAATTGTCAGTTCTTGGTTATTTTTTATTGACAATGTCCATCAAAAAGTTGATGCGATTAGTTTAATTGTCGGTAAGCAAAGCAATATCAATCATGGGATTACTCCAGCTTTTTAAATTTTCGATGTGAAGTCTACCTCATAAGATAAAGGAAACAAGTAGGCAACCAGTGGTGTCCATAGAAATACAAATTGACTGTTGAAAAACATGTCCTCCAAATGTAAAAACATATATTGTCAATACAAAAATTCAACATTCGAAGGAGTCAGTTTCAGTACACTTTGTTTCTGATTTTAGAGTGTCATTCTGTTTTATGGAGCAAAATTGGACAAATCCTTTTGATAAGTATAGGTTTAGAATAAGGAATGCATGTCTAAAGAGTAAAGAAGTCAAAATGTTTTATACTATTGCATGACGGGAGGGACTTTGATTGTATGCATTCTAACAGATCTATTGAAATTTTAGTAAAATCCTTATCTGATTCACTCAACCAATAGCTAGAGTAGGTAATTTAACAGGCACTCTGAATCCAGGTTTTGATTGCAGTTCAGATAGTTTTTAAGATAGAGTTTTATAATGTTTGTGTTCATGTTAATATGCAGGATAACAAAATATACTTTTATTGTATGAAAATATGTAACTTGTTTGAACCGGCTACGATTGGAAGAAAAGCTGAGCAAGCTGTTTCTTTTCGTTTTTCAACTTTCGAATATTTTGTTTATTACCTTGCCATTTTCAACTATCGGTGTCTCGTACTTTTTCCTACCAGAAAACGCAACAGGCCACGCTGATAACTTTTTAGTGTATCGCAGCTGGAAAATAATAAATGTTTGAATTTATTTGCATTTCATCTCGTTAGATTATATTAAGTTTTAAAGGTCAAGAAAACCCTTATTGCTTTCCATTGTATTTGAGGAACTTTCTTTGTAGCCTTTACAGTTATTGCTCGGCGTCAAACCAAGAATAAAAATTACACTGAAAGGAGCCTAGAGGTAATCTCCAAAAATAGTGTTATTCTGTGCAGTAAAAACAAACCAATGGTTCTAAAAATAAACTTAACTACACTTGTTGACATCAGAGAGCTCGCGTAAACTTCACTTAAGTACAGTAACCATGGTAACGACATGAGCAACTGAGCATACAGAAACTTTAGTTCAACTTAGCCCTTTATAGAATATGTTTTTGTTATAGTCGGGTGCCACATTTGGAGCAGGATCTGCTTACCCTTCAAGAGCACCTGTGATCACCCACAGTTTTTGGTTGGGTTCGTGTTGCTTACTTTGTCTTTAGTTTTCTATGTTGTGTATTGTGTACTATTATTTGTCTTTTTATTTTTAGCCATGGCGTTGTCAGCTTATTTTCAATCTATGAGTTTGACTGTCCCTCTGGTATCTTTCGTCCCTCTTTTATAGTAGATGTTTACTTCATACATTATGATGGTGACATATATTTATTTAATTGAAACTTCACTAAGGATTCACATGAACAGCGAAATATTCTGAATGGCCATTCATCCTTACAGGACAAAACCGAAACTTCCAAAAATCTAAAATTATAAGTACAAAATGTTGTGTGAGATACTCATAAGAATAAAACTAGATATAAATATAGGTATAAGAAAATAATTTTTCACCAATGTCATTCATACAACAAGTATCAATGATATGTACATGTGGTCGATACTGTTGTTATAGTTTGAAAGAAAGGAGTATAATTGGTAATTTAATAAATGTGATATATATATACTTTAATAAGAAACAGATAATGACATTTATCTTACCTCCTATATATTTCTAGGAATATGATTGATTAAAAGCAACGGCGCGGAGATCGTGTATATTTCATATGGGGTTAGTAGGCGTGGTTTATTTCAATACATGGTTAGTAGTGATGTTACACCCTTTGTACAAACAACACGGTGTCGAGGAAAAATCTGAATAACAAACGAAGAAACTGATTATGAACGATTGAAATAAATGCAGAAAACACATTAAAAGCTAACAAGTTGTTATTATTGGCATTTGTTTTTGTATATACCAATGGAAGTAGATTTTAATATTGAAGACTTTATCAATTTGATAGGCCACTTAGTCTAGTCTAAATGCCACATGTTATAAAGATAGTCGGTAAGATACATTCGTTACATAGAATATATGACCTAATACGATATATATTGGGTCATTAAGTTCGCTCTCATCCCATATGGAATTTACTGACCCCATATATATCGTATTAGGTCACTAGCACACTATGCAACTTATAACATCCCCCGACACAATACAGATACTTCCAACCACGTTATGCAGATATTCAAAATATTGACTTTGGCTACCTCTGGTCACCCAGATTACACATATATTGACTTTAGTAACCTCTGGTAACCTTATATATATATATACTCTGCTTACCTATGGTCACCGAACATAGGTATTGACTTTGCTTATAATATTGACTTTGGATACTTGTTTTTACCTAATACAGATGTTGATTTTGGTTACCTTACTCTGTTCACGTTGCATAGATATTGAAAAAGTATAACAAAAATTCTTAACTGCAATGTATAAAAACCGATTTCTCAATCTACGCATGATTATTGGTGTGAAAAGTATCACTTTTTTCCTAGATATACGAAAACTTTAGATTATTGAGCAATTATAAATTTCCAATTTTGACAGCGAAATTGAAATATGTTAGGCGTAAATATACACGGTCTCTTCATGTGGGCATTTTTTGCATCAATGATTCAAAGTAACAATAATGTTTGTGTTTAATGGAAGGCGTGTGGGCACATATACTATAATAGTCTCTCTTTGTATGGCTGATCATTTTTTGTTATAGAGTTCCTAAAATTAGATACGTTTCATGTACACTTACGATCCTTTGAATAAACCTATTCTAAAAGGTCATCAATTTAATACTGTCTTTAGATCTTCGAATATTGTTTAAGTCTGTACTAATACTGATTTTGTCATAAATAGATTAAACCACTAAGTATGAACTGCTATGAGGTTTGACCTCTTACGGGCATATATCCTGTTGATTGTATATTTTAGCATTACACAAGGTCATGATTTTCTCAGACTGTTTATGAAGTTATTTCCTTGTTGTGTCGATTAGATGATTCAAGCCTTTTTAATAACTGACTTTTACAGTTTGTTCTGATGTTGTGCTGTCCCAATTAAGGCGGTTGATTGATTACTCGCTATCATTTTTAGCCCCGACGGATTCTGCTTGGGCTGTCCAAAAACAGGAGCCTTTAATTCAGTCGTTGTCGTTGATAATTGTATTTTATATTTGTTTTTCGTTTATTGTTTTGTACATCAGGCCGTTGATTTTCTGGTTTAAATTGTATTACGTTTTCGTGTCTGTCTTTTTTTAGCTTACTAATTAACGTGCTCATTGTTGAAGGCCGTACGGTGACCTAAATATGCTTGCATCTACGTCATTTGGTCACTGGTGGATATTTGTCTGATTTACACTCATACTACATGTTTTTATTTTTATATTTAAAAATTTCCAAAGGGGTGTTCAAAACCTCCAACTCCGAGATGCGCTTTGAACATGTTGTTTTTGTTCATTTAATCTTTTTTTTTGTAATCCCGTAACACACAATCCGTTTTTCATAATTTCATAATCTAATGCATTCTGGGTAAAATTGCAAAAGAGTACATTAAAACGTTGTGATTGGATAATTACGTCCTAGACAATTGTAATTAAACCAATGACGGAACGTTGTTATCAAATGTGGTCCAAACAATGAAATTATCTGAAATACTTTAAATTTAGAAACGGCAAACTATTAAATAGTTCTTACCTCTTCAAATATTTGTATATCATCTGCAAAATAGACCACAGATTAGACTACTGGATTATGATTGGTCATTATCCAACCAATCCCAGCATTCTTTTGGTCCGATGGATTGGTTTCTTGAGCAAAATATGTAAAGTTAATTCCAGATGAGTTCAGAATTTTCTGTATTTTCAAACTAATTTGACCATCGGGTTCAACAACAATCCAGTGTAGCCGTTTTACTAATCGAAAGGCATTTGAAAGACGAGTCAGGTCGGCTCTTTGGACGAGCCGGTTATATGTTGCAGTTATTACATATATAAGAGGAATGTCATCCTGAATACTCTCTGTTATTTTAGTTGACAAAAGTAGATTACAATCATATTTCTGGGTATCTAAAAAGAAACGAAACTAGGAAACCACAACATAAAAAAGCCGTGAAAAAAGCAAACCACAATAGAATCGCAGCCCCTTCCGGTATAGAACCACTAATTTGGGCCTGGTCAGAAAGAATATATAAGATAGAAGTACATATTTTGAACAAAATAGTTCCTACGCATAGCTGTATCTTTGTCAATGGATGAAATATTTGGGTGGTTTTGGTATCAAAGGAAAGCTTGGGGACTTGGAATTAATGTAGAATCCTAGTTGAAAGTTTCTTTTAGATAATGAAAAAAGTTTATAAAACTTTAATATGAGGGCACATTTGCCCTGTTGTTCAGATCAGAAGTACCTGTTTTTTGTACTATCAAACTTCCGAGAACCAGTACGCTTTAACATGCAATTAAAGGAATGTTGAATTTTTCAGAACAAGTCAGGATAAGGTATAGTTTTGACAAGAAATAACTGCCACTTTATTTGAACTTAAGACAAAGTAGCCATTAATGCTTGACAGAATACTACATAGAAAGCAATGGGCTATGAATTAGTGGTTTTGTTCTTTCAGCGAACTTTCAATTTATCTAAAATGAAATCTGATATATAAAAAAAAAATTTTTGTAAAGAACATAGGAGAGGACATAGGTTTAAATATAGCACATGTTGCGTTTGTATCTAATCAGGTTATATCTGAACCATGCGTTGTTCGTTGTTAATCGTTTATCTCTATTTGTATGTCTTGGTTTTTTTTCGGAGGACAGGTGTTTGTGGTTGGTGTTTTGCTGTCCAGTACTTATGGTGACTTCTCTTTTACATTTTATTATTGAGTTATAAGAACATTTTCGGATTTCTTTGCAAATTTTGCATAGTGAGATCTTGACATTCAGACAATCCAAAACTATTTTTAACATGTTAAATTGGATGACAACCTTTAACCTGAATGAAAACCTTTTGAATTCTGAATCGGTTTCGGAGCTAAACGGCGATACAAAACAAAACTAATTTGAAATATGAACTCAAACGTTGTAAAGGAATACCTTAATGAATGCTTTTTACTGTATGACTGATTGAGGTTTTTTTTATATGCGGATTCAAATGCGGTTTTTGACTTCAAACAATTTGTTAATTCGTCGGAGAACAACCACTTTCTATTCTTCTGCACGTTTTACAGTGCGCTAAATTTTAAGCCAGTTTGGGTTGTAAAAACTTTGACTACCTGACCCAATCAAACAATTTAAAGCTGTTTCTTTCTTTGTATACATTTTGTAACATGTAGTACCAATTTCTTTGCGTTCAAGAAGTGTTGTACCACTTTTTTTCTTAAAATGTCCTGTACCAAGTCAGGAATATGGCAGTTATTATAATGTCTATGATAACGTTCATCTGGTATGCCAATGAAACGTGTGTCTATAAAAACGTTCATCAGGCATACACTTGACACGATTATCTGTAATAACCTTCACAAGTCACGCCCACGATACGAGTGTACATATCATAACCTACATCGGACATGCACACACACGTATATCTATAATAAACTTCAGCAGGCATGCAAAAGAAACGTATATGTATACTTCCCTTCATCAGGTTTGTACTCGACACGTATATCTATAACACCCTTTATCAGACATGCACATGGTACGTGTTTCTGTAATAACCTTCAACAGACACGGTCAAGACACGTGTATCTAGAAAACGATCGCACATACACACGACACGTGTATCTATAATAACTTTCATCGGTCATGCACACGCTTGTATATCTATAGTAAACTTCAGCAGGCATGCACATGACTCGTGTATCTAAAACATCCTTCATCAGGCATCCCAATGACACGTGTATCTATAATACTCTTCATCAGGCATGCAAATGACACGTGTATCGATAACACCCTTCATCATGCATGCCAATGACACGTGTATCTATATTACCCTTCATCATGCATGCAAATGACACGTGTATCTATAACACCCTTCATCAGACATGCCAATGACACGTGTATGTATAATACCCTTCATCAGGCATGCCAATGAAACGTATATCTATAATACCCTTAATCAGGAATGCCAGTGATACGTCTTTCTATAACACCCTTCATCAGGCATGCCAATGACACGTGTATCACTAAAACCCTTCATCAGCCATGTCAATGACATGTGTATTTAATACACCCTTCATCAGCCATGCCATATGACACGTGTATCTATAATACCTTTCATCAGGCATGCCAGTGACACGTGTATCTATTACACCCTTCATCAGGCATGTCAATGAAACGTATATCTATAATACCCTTCATCAGGAATGCCAGTGATACGTCTTTCTATAACACCCTTCATCAGGCATGCCAATGACACGTGTATCACTAAAACCCTTCATCAGCCATGTCAATGACATGTGTATTTAATACACCCTTCATCAGCCATGCCATATGACACGTGTATCTATAATACCTTTCATCAGGCATGCCAGTGACACGTGTATCTATTACACCCTTCATCAGGCATGTCAATGACATGTGTTTCTATAATACCCTTCATCAGGCATGCCAATGACGCGTGTATCTATTACACCCTTTATCAGGCATGTCAATGACACGGGTATCTATAATACCCTTCATCAGGCATGCCAATGACACGTGTATCTATAACACCCTTCATCATGCATGCCAATGACGTGTATATATAATATCCTTCTTCAGGCATGCCTATGACACTTGTATCTATAACACCTTTCATCAGGCATGCCAATTAAACGTGTATCTATAATTCCCTTCATCAGGCATGTATATTAAACGTGTAAAAATTATCTGTAATAACTTTCATACCACATGCACACAACACGTACGCGTGTATCTATAATAAATATCCTTCATCAGGGATGCACATGACAATAATAACCTGGATCACACATGCACACAAAACGTGTAACTACAATAATCTTTATCAAGCATGCACACGACATGTGTATCTATAATAAACTTCGTCAGGCATGCACATGACACATGTAGCTAGGAAAACTTGAAACAGGTATCCGTATAACAAGTGAATCTTTGGAATAACCTTCACCAGGCCGGTATGCTCGAAACCCATGTATTTAGAAAAATCTGTCATCAGATATGCGCAAGACACGTGTGTTTAAATATCCAGCATCAGCATCAGTGATCAGGCATGCGCATGGCCTTTATATCACAGAAAAAACCCATAAAATAACAACAATAGATGATAAAAACTAAAAATTATATAAATGAGCATGAAATTGAATAAAACATTTTTTATTTTTTAAAGTGACTACCTAAAACCATAATTTGAGGGGTACCCCATAAACAGGCTAAAATACTAAAATATGACACAAAAAAATTAAATATAGATATTGTTATATCATGATAAACAACTTCCAGCCGTGTGCTATTCCGGTATATTAAAATCATCAATTTAGCGTCTTTCAGATTAAATGTAATCTGATTATTGTCATATTTAGACCATTCAAATGATGATGACAGTTTTAGACAGAAACTTACATGTAGTACTTGTGAATATAAATGTAAACTTACAGAGCCATGCATTTTGTAATTTTTTTATTAAGTCTTGTTGTAAGGATCTTTAAATTGTTACCTTTAACGATTGTTATTCGTTAATTTACATATTTGAAGAACTTAAAGGTTAACAGGCTTGAAAAACCCAGTAAGTATCACTTTTTTGTAGTGCTTTTACCTTTCCTACCATAACATCTGATTTCTCTCAGGTAAGAGGATCGAACTGCCTAACATTTCTTTTAGGTTTTTTGTTTGTTTACAACTCATTTGAATAAAATTGAGAATGGAAACGGGGAATGTGTCAAAGAGACAACAACCCGACCAGAGAGCAGAAAACAACCAAAGGCCACCAATGGGTCTTTAATACAGCGAGAAAATCCCGCACCCATAGGCGAGCTTCATCTGGCCCCTAAACAATAATGTATACTAGTTCTGCGAAAATTGACGTCACACTAAACTCCGAAACCTACAAATGAGCCCAAATTTGAAAAAAACATACAAGACTAACAAAGGCTAGATGTTCCTGACTTGGGACATGCGCAACAACACACAGCAATACGCACATTGAAATTATAATATCATGAACATAGAGGAGCTCTTCAAACATAGTAAAAAGCAGGCATAAGATTCAGTGACCATTTTCTACGGGACTTTAATTATATGTATATGATACCACAATATGCAACATTTGACTTAAATCAATAAATTAACAATAATGGTCTTTATGTTTTCTTTACGGCTGTATACCAATATTCTAGCAGTACCTGCGTATGTATATCACAGATGATCCGATAGTCAAGGCCCTTTTTGTCCTGCCATAAATTTTTTAAGAGGTGGCTGCTTATAAAATCAAAACATCGATTTCAAACGTAGTCAGCTTGTCGGTACTAAGATATAGTTTTATATACTTTATTTTACTGGGATGTACAATGTATTTGAAACTTTCCGCCATTCAATCTTACGCATCAGCCATGACAGTTAAAAGAAGGTTATTATATGTAACGGAAGTTATCGTCCGAGCAAGAAAGAAAAATATGTAATATAAGGTAAATATTGTGAACTTTTACACTGCAATACCGCTGTATAGAAATGGTAATGCATATACAAAATAGCAGTATGACAAACTCAGTTTGCTTATATAATAGCTCTATTAAGTATTTAGTTTTATTTCTTCAAGAATATGTCTATATTAAACGTCATGAAGTTATAAAACAAATATGTCAATGACATATGTAAACAAACTAAACTTTGTGAAGAAAACATTGCTATGTTAAAAACATGCGTCTTATCCATTTGTTAACTTTAGCAATAACATATGTTAAAACTAAAGTGATTACAAATGCTGAAAAATAAATACAGATATTTTAAAGTTATCTATGGTTTTGTAAACGAAAAAAGTGCAATAACAAAAATACCGAACTCCAAGGGAAATTCAAAACGGATGATTAAAATGCAAACATCTACGTACAGGAATACATTAATAACTGGTTAAATGCAAACATATAAATTAACAATAGTAATCTACGTAATCGTAACATACTTAGGACTTCAAAGGTTATCGGAAATAACAATATGAAAACTAGTTTTCATGTATGGCTCTTTTAAGGATTACATTTTATGTTTTCGAGAATTAGGTTGTATTGAATGTAATTAAATCATGGCTTTGGTTTTTTCGTTTGAAGTTTTTTACATTTCGTCACATTCGGAGCCTTCAACAGTTTACTCTATGTTTTTGTTGAAGCCAGATTCGTGATCTATGATTAGATATTTGTAAAACAGTATTTATAACATTGGGTTCATAATATGTAGATAATATGAAATTAATATGTTTTAATCATAGGGTTGTTAACTATCCCTTTTAATGTAACAACATAATCATACAAACAGCATCTGCAAATGAAAATTGAACTGAGGTTCAAATACCGTTTCTTTAAACAGAATTTCATTTGAGGAGGGTTATTTTTTCGTGCAAAGATCTAAAAGCTTTCGTATGTTAAATGATGGTCCTTCGTTGTTTGCATTCACCACGATAGGTTACGATTATGCGTCTGATTTTTGTTCGATCATATCTTTTTTCTACGTAGGACGTAATTGATATTTTTAACCTTTGTTGTAGCTGCTGTTTCGGATTTGGAATGGGAGAATTTGTTGTTGCTCATTAAGAGAAAGGAACAGTCTTTTTTGCTCAACATTGTTTTAACGCGCGACGTGCAACACTGTAAAAACTCGAAAAAGTTATCAGGCTTAGTACATCAGACGCGCGTTTCCCCTTCAAAAGACTTATCAGTAAAGCTCGTATCAAAACAGTTTGAAGGCCAACTCGACAAAAAAGTTGAAAATGTTTCCGTACAGACACATTTACACAAAGAAATTATCGTGATCAAACGATCAGCCGTTGTATGTTCAACTTATTGTATGATTCTGCTTCCATATAAATAAGAAGATGTGGTATGAGTGCCAATGAGACAACTCTCCATCCAAGTCACAATGTATAAAAAGTTAACAATTATAGGTTAACAATTATGAATGTTTATTTTAAAAACCTACACGATAAACATATTCTAAACTTTCAAAAGGTAAATTATCGACCCCCACAATTTAAAAATTATATGAAATAAAATGTGCTTAAACGCGTTAAAGTTTTCTGTTTAGGTCATACGTATAAAAAACCAAACACACAGAATTGTTGTTATTTATAGATCAATTCGATGATACTTTTACAAATATGTTAATTGATCCACTTATATCCCTCTGGAAAGTTTGTTTAAATGTACAAACTGGTTTCAGATTTCTCTATTAGATATCGGCAAATACATCTACTAACAAATCAATATTTTTAGATTATTTAATACAGAAGTTGAATCCGACCATTTTAAAACATAAGGGACAAGGGAGGTTATTTAATTCGTTAATAAAACATGTAGTTATTTTAAACAAAATACGGTAATATAAGTTCCAACAGAAAGACTGTATAAATAAAAAGTAAATTAATTCCACACTTATTAAATAAATTATATCAAAACGAGATTTCAAATAACGGACTTACTCATATGTAGCAGACAAAAAGAGATATGAGCCGTTGAGCTGCACGATCTGTCTATTCCGAAGGATAAGATTTATGCAATGGAACTTGTTTCTTTATTTTATTAAGTTAAATGAAAAATGTTATATGCAACAGTTCAGTTCCTGTAATGTTTAGTTTCAAATAGTCTTAAGCGTTTGATCTATCTGCTTTCCAAATATTTGGTTTCAGCCCCTTCCTCATGAAGATTATTCTTGAAACTTCGAAATTATACCCTATCATACTTTTTTGTTTCCTCTTGCAAAGTTCAGAAGTTCATGTTAACATCTGCGCAAAATTAATGAAACTGTCTATAAAATATTTTTTTCATCCGCATGGAGCTAAAAAAAAGTTGGATTCTTTTGTAAAATGGTTATAAAGAGCTGTAACTCATATGTTAGCATCAAAATCAAAGATATAGAGTCCGAAAATCGAATCTGCTGTTCTATTATTTCTTCGAAATTAACTAGGTATTATGATTTAATGTTCCAGCTATATACAGACGGAAAAAAACTTTAATATGTATTACATGTTTGTATACATGTTCGGATACAGTTATCAGCAATAATGCAAAGTAAACACAGAGACAATTTTTATCGAATGTGTTCATTGACACAAAGCAACTGAACAAAGGCATACCGCGATTTATTAAGTCATCATTTGTTAACATTGAAAGTCAGTTAACCAGATTTTATAAATATTCATCAGCATGACTTGCTCCATTTATGTTTTTCTTATGCATGTTGTATGTGTCTCTCTGGACATGTTTCTCAGAAACCAAGAGTATTACGACCAGCTCAACTTGATATTTTATTCGACAAACATGGACAACGACAACCTAATCATAACGGAAACATCCAATACATTAAAAATGAATTTTGCTGTTGTACGTCAAAACCGTCCTTAACAGTAAACGATTTAGATTTAACTTTGATCAGATGTTTACTCGTGAATTTCTGTGATGATCTTTTTTGGGAATGTTGCCTCGGTGTGAAAAAAATAAATCTGGAGAATTTTTTAAATAACAACAAGCATGAAATATTTCATTCGTGGAAATCGAGTGTTCAGTATGCCTTCAACTAGGTAAAGGGTCAATAGGCACGTCTGCAGGAACTGCAACGATGTCGAAACGTAACTGGAATGAACTGTATATTCCAAACTCTATACTCTGCAATCCCAGCAACCTGCCTGATCCACTTTACTTTATAGCAAGACCAGGGATACGTGTTCAAGATTTACAAGTAGACGGACTATCGTGGAAATTGCAAAAACAATTTTGTCCACTTCGCATAGCAGCTGAAGAACTGGTTGAATTGCGGAATACTATGTATGGTCATGGCGTTGTTGACGAAATTGATGATATGACATTTCATGACGCATGGATACGAATGGAACGTTGCATCCTCATGTTATCAAGCCCATGCAAAAGAAGTGATGCAGCAAAAAAGGAACTCGAAGAACTAAAAATAAGCAGTTTAGACCAATCATTATGCAACCAATATCACACATCATTACTCCAGGAATTTAAAATGTCTTTACAAATAGAAGAGGTAAGATACTGTATTTAGATTATCCACCCGTTATCTTCATATTTCACTACTCCTTAGTTTTAAATAGTTATTTAATCAATAATTTATTAGCTCTTTATTGACTTGTATGATTAGAATTGAAACAGGGCTGGTAAGTCTTCACTGCTGAAAGGTTTTAAAATTCATCTCAATACCAAAATCAAATCAGTCGAACTTAAATCTGATATACAACAATTTAATATATAATGAATTCTTTGAAATAGAAGAAAATGCATTTATTCAATTGTTAAGAACAACTCAGACTTATTTCACGAAAAGAAAGATACGCGCATCTTTTTTATAATTTACATAAACAATATCTGAATTTTCTGTTTTTAAACAGATAATAATAAAACGAAAAACGAAAACATTACTTTTAAAAAGTAATAACTTAATATATTAAACAATCGGACGAAGGTTGACAAAGACTTTTTTGTTAGATTTTTTAAAAATTGTACGTAAAATGCATAATGAAAAAATAACATCTTTTACGTCGTCTTTTTTTGTTCTTGCTTCCTCTTGGATTTTAAAAACACAAAACGAAACGTTTCTCCATAAGTATACCTTGATTTTGCAGGCCCTCCCAACAGCTACTGGAAAACTTGATGTTATTGCTGACAGAATGGATCAGTTTGAGGAGAAGCTATATTCGTTTGAAGGTGTGTATGCATTTAAGAAAACTTTTGATTTTAAATTAAACGTAATAATATTAAGCTACCATTTCAATTACCTCTATCGGATTACAGTATAAATTTGCCCTTTTTCTAAGAAGGTATTTTTTTTCTATCCGTATCAATTAAATAGCCATGCAATGCCTTTTTTCATTTTTTTGTTATTATCTAATAATTTGAACAATCATTTAATTTGCCGTGTACTAGATTTAAACCTATCCAATTAAAAAAAAATCAATGAATGGGTTGGGACGCGAAAATGCTGAAAGGCTAAAAAACAAACAAACCAATTAACAGATATTTTAAAAGAAATGTGCGCCTGTAGAGGAAGACTTAAATGACAAATAAAGTATGCGGCAATATGACAGTAGTGACCTATGGTCAGAACTAGTATTAGGAATAAGAATTAACGAGTCAATCCGTATTCTGTTAAATCATAACATTACATGCAAGCGAAAACATATACTGCTCTCTGAGTCTCTAGTAATTACAAAAGTGAAATCATCCTGGTTGTCGTACATTTTGTGCATTACAACTGATCACCTTCGATAAGGTAAATCTGTACGGAAGTCATAAAGGGACACATACAAAATAAAATCAATCCGTTATTCATTTATTGTGTTATACCACGTTAGCAAAGTCTTTCGGGCGTATAATTATATGAATCACATTGTATGTCCGTCTGTCTGTCCTTAGCCTTGTGTGCCTTCAAGGATATTGATCAAACTTCACACAGTTGTAAAACACTACTTGAGGATGGCAAGACGAAATATATTATCAGTTCAAAATGTTGAAGGGTAGATAATCAGTAGATAATCAAAATTACTTTTAATGTTGCAATATGGGATAATAGTCGTTCATCAGCGTAACCTCATCTAATACCTAGATGGATATTGATTACAATGTATACCCTAAGGTTGTGCATACAGGAATGTAACCCCCCTTTAATAGGAGATAATCAAATTTGGGTGCGCGGGCTATCGTATCCTTCTGTACTACCAACTTTGATTAAAGGACATACAAAAAATCATACTTATCATAACAACACAGTTTAGTTGAGGACTTTTTTTGCTTTATATTTAGTTTCATATGTAACGTTTTGTGAAATGTTGTTTTGTCTATTCGCTTTTATTTACATTTGCCATGGTATTTTTTTTCCTTCGATTTACGAAGTTTGAGATCCTTCAAGGCATATATAAGAGACAAATCAAGATAATAAACAAAATCTGAGGGAATGCATGAACTCTAAAAGGAGCAAGAATCGGTAAAATTACAGATCAGACGACTATAATGCATATATATAAAATTTCATGACCGAGAAAATATGTTGTTAGTGAGTTGAGACACCGATGCATTGTTTCGGTCAACAAACTTGAGATGATGACTGTGAAACTAATGTAGTGTCGATTTCAGTCGTTCTTCTTGATAACTCTGTTTCATCAGTTTTTGTGTAATTAATGAAGTCCTTATAATGTGAACATGTCATGTACGAGCGTAACGTATTAACTGACACATGTAAATGCAATACGATGGAGCAGAGGGTTTGTTACTTCTGAGAAATAGTAAGTTGATAATTGGAAAATTGAAATTATCACGCTTGTCATAGATTCTAGTTTAAATTCATCCATCTGAGTCAATATCTATCGAGGGAAAGATCAAGATAAGAGGTAGAGCTTTTTCGATCGGTATTAGTCTTAATCTCAAGTTCACTGGGATATATGAGAGGTATGCAGCTATTTAGTGATAGGACATCATACATACATATGAAAGTGAAAGTAAAGAACTTTGCAAGACATATATCAGATTGTGTTAAAAGGACATTTGGATATTTCCGCTTTACCCTTTTTCAAATTCAGCATGCTAATCGCCATTTGGACTCTGTTGAATAGTTGTCTTTTTTGCATTTCACAACACATCTCCTTATTTTGTTTATTATATACCGTATTCTTTTTATACAATAATCCGAATTAACTAATTTATGTGCGCAGATCACGTTTGTGAAATAAAGGCAGTCTTCATCATATGCGCATGTGACCGATAGTTGCGAAAGCTATGGAAAGAACTAGTTTATTTTTATCTCAAATTATTGCCAGAAAAGCTGTGATGATAAGGAGAAAACGTTTTATGAAATACTAGTAGGTATTTAAATATTCCCTTCTGTGAAAATAGACTCGCGAAGTTTATCATGTTTGTTCTGCAATAAATGAAGGGCGATCTTAAGTTGACGTTAGCTTCTCTTGGTTTGGGAATCCAGAATGATGTGTCCAGATGTATAATTATTACTACGTAGATAAGAATATTGTAAATCCTTAATTTTAGATAGAGAGTGGTCATGTACAGTTTAATCATTCATATTACGATGTTTCATCTTATTTCTATAAGAAAAAAATTAGCGTTTAACTTTGTCGTAACTACAATCCCGTTCCCTTTTCCCCAAATGTGACCTACCGAATTAGACTTATCTCCGGGTTTTTACTTATATGAGCAACACGACGGATGCAACTTGTGGAGCAAGATCCTCTTACCCTTCCGGAGCACTTGAGAGATCACCGTCAGTTTTTGATGGGGTTCGTTTTGCTCAGTTTTGTGTTACAACGTGATGTATTTTGTGTGCTGTTGTTTGTCTGTTTGTCTTTTTCTGTGCAGTGCAGGCGATTTGATGTCACGATATCTCAGTAGCATGAGTTCGAATCCCGGCGAGGGAAGAACAAAAAATTTGCGAAAGCAAATTTAAAGATCTAACATTGTTTGGCTGATGTTTAGACGAGTTGTATATACAGAATGTACACAGCCATGTATCACAATCACTGCTGGTGATGCGATGGATAAATCTGTTGTAGAGTTGTCACTGGTTCAGACGTACTTATAAATATAATAATTTCTGTGACTGTATCTTGCATTAATTTGTAGGATCCTTTACAGTAGATATTTCAGCTGATCTGTAACAATTCCATCTTCATGCCTTATATATCATGTACTGTACTACGACGCTAGATTAAAACTGACGAGGAAAGGTAACACCCGGCCACCGAATGCTTTATTATTGTGAAGCCTAGGTGGTCGTGTGGTCTTGCGCGTCGGATACAGTGCATGCGATTTGGTGTCACGATATCTCAGTAGCATGAGTTCGAATCCCGGCGAGGGAAGAACAAAAAATTTGCGAAAGCAATTTTACAGATCTTACATTGTTGGGCTGATGTTTAGAAGAGCTGTATATACAGAATGTACACAGCCATGTATCACCATCACTGCTAGTGATCCGATGGATAAATCTGTTGTAGAGTTGTCACTGGTTCAGACGTACTTATAAATATAATAATTTCTGTGACTGTATCTTGCATTAATTTGTAGGATCCTTTACAATAGATATTTCAGCTGATCTGTAACAATTCCATCTTCATGCCTTATATATCATGTACTGTATTACGACGCTAGATTAAAACTGACGAGGAAAGGTAACACCCGGCCACCGAAAGCTTTATTTTTGTGAAGCCTAGGTGGTCGTGTGGTCTAGCGCGTCGGATACAGTGCAGGCGATTTGGTGTCACGATATCTCAGTAGCATGAGTTCGAATCCCGGCGAGGGAAGAACCAAAAATTTGCGAAAGCAAAGTTACAGATCTAACATTGTTGGGCTGATGTTTAGACGAGTTGTATATATATATATATATACATAATTACTCTTAATATCAGCACAACAATGTTAAATCTGCAAATTTGCGGAAGCAAATTTTTGTTCTTACCTCGCCGGGATTCGAACTCATGCTATTGGGATATCGAGACAACACCGCCTGCACTGTGTCCAGCGCTCTAGACCACGAAGCCACCTAGACTGAACTAATAATTCAGCTTTTGGTGGATATATACTGATATATATATGTATATTGCGTGGCACAATCATAACCCATTCATATATTTCTCTATTATCACAAGCATGTACAATTTTGACATCTTAATTTAATTTAAAGGGATTGTCTATCTAGTGTCAATTAAAGTTTCAGCAGATACTTTAAGACGTTTACCACATGTGGCCATTCGTATCAATAACATTGTATATATAACTTATAAGGAATGGTGCATAATTTGTACAAAAGTCTTATCGAATGATCAAAACTACTAACCCATTGACATATTACCTTGATTAGATTGCAACCAAAAGTGATTCATGACATTGGCAAGTCCGTGTATGCCTTCACATAGAAAGAGACAGTCCCACCTCCTCCCCATCCACCATTTCCGTTGAATTTGATTCAGTCAATCATTTGTAAAGTACTTTTTGGTTTTATTAACTTAAGATGGCCGAAGAATTATTATCCTGAGATGGGATGGTAACAATGCGAAATGCAGAATACCTAAATGTATTGAAATTGGACATGCAACAGGTAAGTAGATTCAGGACTAACATGTTTTATACTTGACGAATTTGCAAAAATCAAAGATAACGGCGATGACGGATGGACATTTAAACTTCAGTTACTATTACATGCTTATTAAAACGAGATCATTTTAATGTAATTCGAATATGACACCTGTTTTGTCCACGCTCACACGAACAGTCCATCGGAAGATAAGTCACCATATTCAGACACATTGTTCTGACTGACTCCGAGTTGAGAAAATTTGTTCTCAAGCTTATATGCTGTGCTTAGGAGATAATTCCCAATTACTGATTTTGAAGACTTTTAGTCAAGACTCAAGAGTTAAGGCAGACGATACATAGGGGATGAGAGAAATTGACAACGTCATGACATAAAACAAAAGATAACGAAAAGACAACAAGTACACACAAAACACCACATAGAAAACTAAAAACAGAACAACATGCACGAAGTCCATAGAAAACTGGGGCTGATCTTAAGCGTAAACAAATTCTGTTTCACTAGTGGCATCCGTCATGTTGCTTATGTTAAGTAGCATTTAAGTGGTAAATTTTATTCAGTGATGTTACAATTGAGGTAAAGAGAACAGAATAGGTGTAACGACAAATGAGACATACCTATGGTCATCTGTGGCACAGATATTCCGTAACGGTCAAACAACTTGTGATGGCATCCGTATAAACTTTTGATGGGATGCTTTAAATTTTACCACTTAAAGCTCTTAATGCTCTTGGTTCAATTGCTTCCTTATAAGCAGCAACCTTCTTTGGATGAAATCATAATATGGAACGCAAGCTCTGTGATATCGTATCAACTAGAAGATATTTACTGCATAATGTGCAGTTTTTCTAGATTAAGTAAGACTTCATATAACATTTGAAAACGTAATTTATTGTTAGTGAAAAACAATGTAAAGTGGTCATTAAACGACATATTTTAATTGTCTCGTCACTTAGCACATTGTCATTTCGGAAATTTTACCCAAACTATTGTGATTTTTACAAGTCTCAGGTCTTAAAAACATGTTCTATAGTACCGAGAAAAACTTGGGATTATCTAAAATATTATCAGATGCTACGTATTATTTGAAATTTAGTTAGAATGTTTATGAATCAGGTTTGCAATGCAAATAATCATGATGTCCAACGTTAAAAATTTTCGAATTATTCAATGATCATGACTACGATATCAATATTTTAATCAACACATTTCCGTCCTCTTTTCCTCGAATGTAATCTCACTGAATGAGACTGATCACTGAATGTGTACTTACATGAGCAACACTATAGGTGCCTACTGCGGAGCAGGATCCGTTTAACCTCTCCTTGATATCACCCCCAGTTTTTGACGGGGTTCGTGTTTTTTTTTTCTTTAGTTTTTGTATATTGTATTTTGTAGACTGTTTTCGTCGTTTTTCGGTACTTGTCATGACTTTGGCAGTTTGTTATCGACTTATGAGATTAAATATGTCTTAGGTATCTCCTGCCTCTCTATTTTGAGACGAACCGAATTTTATAAGTGTTATTTTCTTTTACAATAATCACTTTTTGTGATAAAAATGTCGAGATGTGCGGTAGAAAATTTATTTCGTGCGTCCGTAGAGCTTTTCCGGATTAATCTTCACCAGGAACGCACAAGCCAAACATTTGATGGCTAATGATTTCTAAATACTAAAAAATCATCAAAAGCTACATGTACATGCTCAACGAGGACCTTACATGTATTTAATTTTCTACTAATTAATCAATGCCGGATTGAAGAAAAATCATATCAGTACCGAAACACTAGTGAGCTAATATACCCTCCTGGACTTCTAGCCAAACAACAGCAGTAGCGACCTAATGCTAGTAAACAAAGTTTAACACTTTATACTTTTCGTGGATCCGAAGCAACATACTTGATTTACTTTCATCAGGAACTCTACACAAAACAGAATGGGGTTAATATGTATAGTTGATTTTATTTGCATTTTGTTTTCGTTTGCTTAAGCAATGATGTGGTCATTTTCTGAGTGTTGAAATTATTCAAAAGACAAAAGTCTTCATATCCCAAGCATATGAGGCATAACCAGATTTTGCACAATTTTCTAGTCTGGTTTATTTTGTTTGCCTATCAACTTCGTTATCAATTTGGCTTTCCGATTGGCATGATTTGAGCGACACTGATGAGTCTGTGAAGACGATCCGTGCAAACACAATTAAAAGCCTGGTACCCATTATGATTCCGTTACAACTACTGGGTCGATACTGCTGCAAGTAGACGTTTCTTTCCTTAGAGTAACACCGCTGTTTAGTCATTCTGTACTGAAAGGAAATATATTTAGAGGACATTTTCTCTTCGTAGTCGATTTGGCCTTCCAATTATTTTGATTCGATAGTCTCTGATGATTCTTATCTAAAAGAACAGTGCATCTGTCTTTAAGATTAATTTTTTAAATGATGATTTTAGGTGCATTTATACCATCCGAGTCATATGAGGGCCATGCAATGCAAACTGGTGTGCCTTCATCCGGAAATATCTTTAATAAGATGATGAATTACGTTTCCTCTGCTGTATCCTGTAAAACATATGGAAATCAAGAATACGAGGATGAAGGTATGATTGTTCAGGGAAAATAAAGAGATAAAAAGGCAGAAATAGAAAAGCAAATTCGAAGATGGAAGGACAAGACAAAAGCAAAAGAATGCAAAAGAAAACATTAAATCTATCGTCATGAAAAGATTGATAATAATGAATTTTGCATAAATTCGTTGATAAGTCATTAATTTAATAACGGACAACAAATGAAATTTGAGGTTACTCTTAAAATAGTATATTTATGCATGTAATTAAAGGTAAAACGTTGATTACCAATTTTCAAAATCCATCAATTCATTCCAAATATACAAACCGATAGTAAAACAAACCCAAGGAACAACATTATCTCCAAACGGAAATAAATTCTCTACTACGGATGCATCGTCAAAGTATGCATCTCCCGGAATGTACGAAACATCCGTAATGCGAATCAAGACTTATTCAGAGATGCCACAGTTGGACATAATCAGTATTTAATCAAATTTCAAATAATCAAATGACATAAAAATATGCCTCTCGATCGTCAGATGAAACACAAACATATAATATATGTCAAAATATTTGAAAAGTCGGTTTCAGTCTTCGGGGCGAAAGATACCATAGGGACAACCCTATCGGGTAATGAGCACATACCTGTTCAAAAATTTCAATGTAATTATGAATGCACCTGATTATCATTTGAAATATTTAAACGCAACACGATTAGGCAGATGGCATGATACTGCTGAGAAATAGGAATTTGACAATGGCAAAACTGAAATCGTCATGCGATGGTCTCTAAAAGACCTCGAATTATCTTTAGAAGTCTTAGATGCCTTTGAGTTACTTTTCCATGTAAAATTTAAGTCTGATAATGATTATGCGTCAATCATGAAAATGTTTTATTTTATTCCTTCCACACAGTCATCACTACAGATCACACAAAGATTTCTGGCATCTCTTTTTATTCATTTTTACTGTTTCAACTATCAATTAGTCTAAACTCTAATTAACCAATTAAACTATTTTAATAACATGTAAACATATTTTATATTTTCAGACAATGAAGTACTCGGAACTCCGCATTCAACACTACAAGCCAAACATATAGGTACTATTTTTTTCCCTTCTTAAATGTAATAATTCTGGTTATCATAAAAATGTAAACTTGAGTGTTATTCTACATCATACATTATAGTTTAAAATCCTTTGCGTGTTGCGAATATGGAATATATATTTATAAAATGTAATATAAGGTTATTATGGCGATGATGGTCATTGTCAATTTTAGGTTTATAGAAACATATTCTTTATAAAAAATTGAAGTGAAGCACATTCTGACTGTCACGATTAGGAGAATATATTGTCTATATTACAGTAAACGATCTCGAACAAAAATCTTAGTCATCTGAAACTTCAAATTTAGAAAAAAAAGTTGAACGTGTTTTATATACTTGAATGGCTAAGTTTTACTCTAAAAGAAGTGAATTTGAACTTTTTTTTCAAATGAAATCCTTTATATTATCAAAATCTTCATAAATGTACCGATATTGAATTATTGACTTCCAGACAATAATTCGCCGATATTTTCCCTAATGCAGTGACCTTAACTAAGAGACCTCCCGTTATAACTTCGGCCACCGCACAGCGCAAGTGCGAGGGATAAACCGTGATGAAAGAATGTAAACACACGTGCTCTTGAAGGTAAATAGAAATAACAGATTCTTAAAGTAACAATTTAATACAACAAATCATTTAACAACTGTCAAGGAATAGTTTAATTAATAAATAGAACGCATGGAAAATATGAAAACAAATGTCATGGCTCTTTTAATTCGCTTATTTGTCACGCTTTCCACGTGCTCTGTTTTTATTGTGTATCAATGTCATGATCCGGTAAATTTTGCCAAGAAACTCGAAACTTAATTAGCTTGCGATCAACAACCACTGAATGAAATATTATTTGTCGATAATACGTTATAGAAATGTAATAGATATTAAAAAAACGTACATGCAAGACTTAGTTTAGTATATATGCATGCATTGGTTCAATAATTTAAAAAAAAATAAAATTTTAAGAAACTCGTTTCATATGACTTAAATATCTAAACATAAACCCTCAACATTACGAGACAGCAGATTGCTCTGATTTCCCTAATTCATATACATTAAATGTGTTTTATCACAAAAATCCACTGCTGTAAATCAAAAAACTATGTGTGAAAATCAATGCAAAGTGCCTTGCAATATATATAAACTAATGGAAATCGAAAATGTAGTTTGTATGAATTGCCTTGCTTTTACAGAAATGTGCACATTAAGAATGTTTCATTTCGATATCAGTATAGCCGTGGATCTGTTCATCCTATTCTCTAATGTAACATTTTGACTGAGTATGTCCTAGCATGCATAGAATAATGCACCTTCCTTGTCGGTGCATTCCGTATAGCTCCGTTACGAGTTCGTGTCTACCATGGGTTTCATTTTCTTTATCTTGATTTGTGTATCCTTAATATATTTACGAGATTTGAAAATTGGAACACTACTGTTGCCCCTAATTTAAGTTTTGAAATTGATTTACAAATAATATTATATTTGTTTACAATTGCATCGTTTTTCATTTAATTTGATTAAAAACCATCATAGATATTTTTAATCATATCTGCCATAGTTTATTATAAAACTGATTTGTTATGAATTTTCTCTTTCAGATAACAAGATGACGCCACAATTACATTATGAAAGTGAAGAGGACAATGAAGACATTACAAGTAAGAGAGGATTTTTTTCTAAAAATGTCTCAAATTAACTCATAATTGTTTCGAATACAGTACATTTATTGAGGAAAAGAAAATAAACATAATCCAATTGATACCATAAAGTGACAATGTGATATTCCTGGTCCTGCTTGTGTTCTTGTACAAAATAGGTGCATTTTTAAATATCTCTTTTGTCATACTTACTCTATTGCATGTACAGAAATTCAACTTATTTTAAGGCGGAGACGAAGACTCTAGTGAAGAAAATGACCTTCATATCTGCGGTTGGTGTAAACGTGAATTTGTAGGGCTATCGAAATTTTTTAGACACAAGCTTAGATGTAGCAGGGTAAGTAATGATATAATTTCTTTGACCTGTATTTTATTAGTTATTTTTTAATAGCAAAAAAAAACAATTAATATACATTTACTAAGAATTTATGAGTATCTAGTCTTCACTTTTAATAAATCTAATATAAATATATCGGAAAGACGTTTAATTGGATGCCTCTACAGATTAAGTATCAAGCTATTCGCACGTCAACTCATTGAAGGGTCTGTAGCTGCTGAAATAGAAAATATCTGCTTCTTTTCAATATACCCTTTTATGTATGATTCAGATTTTCAACCCTTTTCTCTATCAGTCAACTTTGCAGAACCAACCTATTGGAACTATTGTTTATTTAGATATAACCGGTCAAATCTATTAGAATAGAACAGTATACATTCATGTATATATCTGTTTTAAACTGTGACAAGTACAGGCTTTTTCTTCCTCCTCACACACATATAGTTATCAATTTGGCTATGCTGGGAATAGAAATAAGCACAATGTGGACGTCAAATTTTCTAGGAGGAAAAGTGCCTACCTATATGCACGTTAATAACCCTTGCAATACTAATGGAATTTCCGGTTGTTGACCTGTTATAGTGTTAATGTTAGGTACCATTCCAATATACTAATACCCTCTTTACAGTGACAATCCAGATATACCACCCTTCGTCTTGGTCGACCACTTTTGCAGAACTTGCCTCATTAATTTACAAGCATGACACATTGGCCACTGGACATAAAAAACAACAATTAATTAGTCAACGTGGAGCTTGCCCTATGATTTGGATTGTGTTTCTTTTTTTATCTTTTATCTTTAATTGTGTGTTAGGCGATATTAGTCGTCACAAATGATTTTGTCATGATTTCCAATTTTCCTGCTCTTAATCTGTTGATCAATATTATATACACCAAATCTTTTATTTTTAATATTTACAAATATAAAACATTTTCTAAACGTATGATAAAAAGAATATTATCATGGTGAACATATTATCAAAAAATGAGGAGATAGCATTACATTCGCTTTAAAGTTTTCATATAATTTATAATCTGTATATTAAGAACAAACAAACAGCAGAGGCTTGTTGTTCTGGTGGAAAACTTGAAGCCACAGGTAAATAGTAGAAATTGAACAGTTGTGTGTTATCACCTAATCTTATTTTCACACTTCATTTCTTTATTCATGTTTAAGTACGTGAAAGGGCAAATAGTTCCATTTTTTAGCATCTCAATGTAAATGCAGTGGTCTTCTTAACCAATTGTCAACATGGGTTAATACAAAAAAATATCTAAACCGGACCTTTGAATTAATTATCAAATATATAAAGCATGTGCTCTCTATATGGTGATATAACTTTAAATAGAATATACAAACCAACAACTAAGTAACTGACTGAAACTACTGAGACAGCAAGATCTGCTACATAGTTAATTTTTACCTAAGCAGCCAAAAGAAGAACATAAAAATGTAAACTTTATTATTCTTATTGTTCATGTGCGTACTACAGATACATACATACTGCAAATTTAGAAATTTCTATTATTTATATTATCGCGATTGTTAACCAACTGACAAATGCGAAATTAATAACTACAATTTGAGGAAATGCTGAAATAACATGATTGCCTTTAGTTAATAAATCTGACATTTCGTTCCAGGCGGTAGTGAATATAATGGTGAAATCGTAATTGAAAATGTCAACGATGAATGGACTGAGAAGGCAGTAAAGAAAAAATTTAAGCTACAAAAACACAACCATCTTGGTTTCCGTCTTACTCATAAGGAAAGGAGTAGTTTAATTTTATGGACAAAACTATCAGGCACGATGCTGAAAGACGAAGACACATTTACTACATGTCTTGAGCAATTTGTGACACAGATTTTCAGGCAATGTCCTCTAGCAATGCACACGTATGTCGAAATTCGGATTACCTTTACCATTGTGGAATGGTTAGCAGGTATATTTTATTTTTGGAGATTATAATATACATGTATGTTTGAATTAAATATTTTGATTTTAAATAAGCTGTCAACAATTGTAGTTTAAGATAACAAAAAAAAAGGAAATTCTATAAACTTCATGCACACTTCGATATTGTACAATTACATTATACTATTATTGTTTATTTCTGTAATTAAACCTACATGATCTGATTTTGATCCAATATGATAGTTTTCTGGTTAATAAAATATAAACGAAAGTTTCAATGGTTTCTTATCTTACAATTCACGCTGTATCATTTATGACATATATATATTTGCATATACTTTTAAATTATCAAAACAACGAAGACGATTTGATGAGATGTGATCGATGCTATAATGACTTTCATTCTCTAAATGCGTTTAGTGATCACAAAGATCTGAAATGTATAAAGAGAACAACTGAACAGAAAGAGGAAATGTATGGTAAAATACATAATTATTGTAGACTTGTCGAAATCAAAATTTATGTTAAATTTTCACAATCATTACAATTTTTCGATAAAAATAGCTTTTGATTCTTATACACTTTACACTTCCATTGTGTATGATCAATGGAAATATCGATTACAACTTCAGATTAAACAGTGTTTTGTATATACAAAATGGAATTGTAGATAAAAAGTTCTTTTCTTAGGTGAAAAATTATAGTTCGTCATGATGAAATCCTTTGACATGTTTGATTCCAAAGACAAATAAAACGAATACGATATCATCAAAATGTTAAACGTTTTGAGCGATAACACATTTGATGGGTCTGTTGCATATATATATCAGGAAAAATACGGTAGTTTAACAGACACCCATTGTGCAATCCTACCAATCGACATGTTTTGTACTCGTCTGAAGCCGAATTCACTCAAAACTTTCTCAAAGCAAAAATGAAAATTATCTTGTCACGTTCTTTCACTTTCAAATATATAGGTGGTGTCCCGTCAGGAAGTTTTTTTTTATTAAAATGATTGCTGACTTCTCATTTATCTCAGTGAAATAGGTTTATTTCAATGGATTTATGACAAACGTGACGATTTCAGTTTCGCGACCTTAAACTTCCCATTTCTCAATAGAAGCATGTCTTTTGCTTTTGCATATCATATATGATACGTTAGGTGTGTACATGTTCACAGTTTATGGACTGCGTGATTAGGTTAGTAGTCATGACGCAAAATTGATCCTACAGGGTTATGAGAACTAACAAATGAAAACACAAAACAAAAGTTTTACTGTTACAGTCACTGATTGATATCATTGGACTGTGTCTCAATACACAAGAGAACATGTTTTCTCGGTTTTCTTGGATCTATAGATGTCAGAAAAGTCGTCTGATCTATTTACCGTTTTGGTCATATATCATCAATATTATGTTAGTTGCATTGCAGAACAAATGCACTCACTTACAATATAAAATTGAAAATGTAGGTAATTATTTGGAATAAGATATTGCTATGATTGAACAAAATCCGAAAGGTATCATATGATGTATACAATACATTGTATATTCATACATGATAATCTCTTATTATAAAAAAGATTGAAATAGTTCTTGAAAGAATAGTCCAACTTTGTTATATCTGAAACAAGTGACCAATGTAGATGGCAATGGAAGGGAACAGTTATTCATTTATAAAATCATACTCAAATTCTTACAAAACTGTCATCATACAGACGCTGGATTTTTGTTAATAACGAGATTTTTATTATTTTTGTTGAAAAGTTCTTTACAGACAATATTCTGATGAGAAATAACAATAATTGTGTAATTGCCAATTTTCTTTACTGTCATAAGGCAAACTTCATCAAAGGTTTTGTCAAGAAGAATGAAGGGAGTTGATTTCATCCTACATCTTCACTTGTTGTTGTATAACTTATGTCTTATATATGCATACATGTAATTTAAAGAATGATATAATAATACATGTTATCGCCTCTACCCTTCTGACCGTAACAAAAACCAAAAATTAAATGATACCACGGTACTGGTAAGGTCTGATCCATAACTTGATAGTCACCTTTTAATCGACATCGAAGGTCAGTTCAGATTAAACATTTCGATAACAAAGAAAAGTTCAATCTACCTAATGTGATATGTATGTACAAATATTCAAACAGTACCTGCATATTCAGTATATATCACCAACTGATACGGTTTTACAACCAGAACTTCCGTCTCCTATCAGAATTGACTAGTTAAATGATTAATGCTAACGTCGAAGCTTATGCATCTATTCTTTTGAATTTATATAAAAAGCATGTTTTTATAATGTGTATGGATGCCGTTGTAACGGTTATGAAGTTTTTCAAATATAAAAAAAACCCATAGGTTTCAATTTTAATATGTAAACTGGTCAGTAATTTTCATTTTTTGCATGTCTGAAAATAGTGTTCACCACTCCGTTTATCTTTGAATATGAATGATCTCATGTGTACAAAATCTTTATCTGCTGGTATTTGATCAAATTACTGTGTCACAGGTTGTTTATGTGATAACTTAGAAATAGATGGATGGGTTATGAGTTTGCCTTAAACTGGACGTTTGTCGATGTTTACTCTTTAAGCACTGAAACTGAAGAAGGTATAAAACTTTCAGTTGTACTGAAACTAGATTGACTGTCCTAGGTAAAGTTGCCTTTAAACACTTCTAACACGTCTGATCTTTCTGGTAATTGTGTTCTGATATATTTATAATATTGTTGGCTACCGTAATTATGGTCTTCAGTGTTAATTATGAGGTTTCTTTAATACGGTGTAATGTATTGGCTTTTGCTTCTACTTGTGTTTTATGTATCTAATATGTGGAGCAGGATCGGCTTTACTTCCGAAGCACCTGCGATCAAACCCGGTTTATGGTGGGGTTCGTGTTGCTCAGTCTTTAGTTTTTATGATGCCCGACTCCGATCCTAACCATAAGCCTTACATCTAACCCTAGTCAACATCTGTTTTTATTTTGTTAGTTAACCCTTTCATAGGCAAATGTCCACACGTCTTGTTTTATATGTACAAGGTGCTTTGAAATCGATGTCATAAGTTTATATTGACAACTTTATTTTATAGAACTACTATCGTTCAGAAAGCAAAGATTAATATGAAAATAATTTTGCCATTGAACAATGCTTTTAGTCTTGATATTTAAACTGAACAATTTCTTTTAGATTTAGATATCGACTCTTATGTACTGGAGGTAACTGAACGGACTGACGTAGAGGCGAATATTCAAACGGTACGTTTATACGCTGAATTAGAGTACATGTTGTTTTAATGAAATATGATAACGAGTATTCGGTAGATATGTAAAAACTCAACATTCGGGTAAAGACTCAATAGTTATTTAAAACTCGTAAAATATATTTCTGACTATAACTAAGTACGCTCGAATCAAAACATTAATACCAATCCAAGGAGCGAAAGATTGTAACACTGTATGAAGATTTATTTTAAGAGAAATGACAGCATAAATTGTTTTCTTGTAAGCACAGACGTTCTGACATCTTTGCTGGTAATGAACTCGTTGACGGAGCCACCACCAGCAGTAACATCGATCTAGTGTTTGACAAACTCACCATACGTGCGTTTCGCCAACAAAAGATTCATCAGTGGTGTTCCAAACAAAAAAGTTTAGATGTAGTGAGAATATGTTCCATTTGATTTCTTTTATTATGGAAGTTCATATCATGTTACGTTTTTAATCATTTCCATTGAAGGAAAGATAAACATTTAGATATTTTTAACTAAAATACCTTTAACATATCCTTTATTTATATGATCAGAATTTGCGAAATTATAAACAAATATACACTGGACAACTATTAGAACGAAAGCCAACCGAGAACGATACGTTTACATGAAGACTATAATGTTACATTTGTACATATTACTATTCAAGGTAAGATATGTATTACATTTATTTATTAGGAGACCAATACTAGACTAGTAATCGCTGGAATTGACTTTGGAACAACTTACTCTGGATATGCATATTGTCTTCGAACTGATTACAGGGCTAATAAAAAAAAACAAGAATTGAAATTTCCACACTGGAAAATAGGAGATGGCCGCGCTAGCTATAAAGCTCCTAACTGTATCCTGTTCAAGCCAGACATGTCATTTCATAGTTTTGGCTATGATGCAGTAAACAACTGTTTGATATTTATAAACAATGGAGAAGTAGATGAATGGTTTTACTTCGACAATTTTAAGATGGTTTTATTCGATGAAAAGGTAATCTTACAAAATTCATATGAATTGGGTTATATCCCTTAAAAATTTAATATACATTTTCAAGACATAAAAAATAACCAAACAAGTAAAACGTGTAACTACTTAACAGGGAAAGAGTTTATGGCGGAAATATTGAACGACAAAATTATTTTATGTCTACCTGTGAGAATTTCGAACGCGCGATTTTACGCCAGTCCTTAAAACCTTCCATCCTTTATGGGTGGATTTTACATAGCTAAATAAAATCGTATAATATAAGCAAAATCAGGATGTTAAATTTGATGTATGCCTTTTTGTGCTTCTTCGTTACATTTGTTTGTGTTTATAGTGATTAAGATGATAACACAATGTTGACTGCTGTACCTCTATTTTTGACATTTTTACCTATTGTGTCTGTTTGTTTTGTTCACGCATCGTTGTCAATATAATGGAATTTGATGCGACTGTCATACAAGTGAGAGGTTTAGCTAGCTATAAAACCAGGTTCAATCCACCATTTTCTACATAAGAAAATGCCTGTACCAAGTCAGGAATATGACAGTTGTTATCCATTCGTTTGATGTGTTTTAACTTTTGATTTTGCCATTTGATTGGGGACTTTCCTTTTTCAATTTTCCTCGGAGTTCAGTATTATTGTGATTTTACTTTTTATTTATGGATTATTCTGATTTAAAAATCTTAATTGAAAAAAACGAAGACACACTCATATCCGTTTAATATATCATTAAATTATAATTTATCGACCCTTTTTTCCAAACCTTCTCACTTTTCTCTTCAATAAGATGTGCTAAAATAACATTGAATTGTATAATTTTGATTTAATCTAATATTGTAAAATTGTTCATCAGGTGACGGCATTGTTCATATTTAAAGGTTTATATTATAAAACTAATCAGGAATACTTCAAGTCTTTTCAGCAATGGATTGATAAAAACAAACTTTATGTGTGAATATCGTCTGCAGTGAGTGAGGAGTATTATCAATATAATTTCTTATGGTGTATAAGTCAAACAGTCTATAATTTGTCAGTCCTTTCATCGTGTAATAAAAGATGAAGACGATAATTCATTTAGAATTTATTGATTCAACTTTCAGTAGTTTCTGATTCTGTTCAAACATACTTGTTACACAATTGTAGACTATTTTTTAACCCAACAAATGAGCTTCTTCCCATGTAAAACATGAGATAAAACGTCGTTTTACCAAGATTACACACATTACGCATCGACAAATTGGCTCTTTCCGCTAACTCGTCGTTGTCAATGATGATGTATGTACCTCCAAAAGAAAACAACTCATAAAAAAATGGATCTCTAATTACAGGATTAATTGCGAAATCTGTAAAAAGGCTCTTCTGCAATAATATTTATATGTATGACATGACAAAAGGAGTAATCAAAAAGGGAAAGTTAAAACCATGCCAAGCAGAACAAATATATAAAAGACTTTAGTGACATAGATATTGACAATGATTAAATAGGGAATTATGGGGTTCAGAAGCGTCAAAGTAGAATCTTTAAAATCGTGTCGTGTTGAACATCAGAGTTTAACTAGTGATTAATTAAATACACGGATATTTAAAGTAATAAAACATGTCAGAATTGACTGATATTGGATTCGTTAATGATATATAACATATGCAACAAAAGAAAGCTGTCAGTTTATTTTCGACTTATGAGTTTGAATGTCCCTTTGTTATCTTTCGCCTCTCTTTTTCATTAGTGAGCTTTTCTCCGTGACATTTTTTGACAAGCCTTTGACATATTGTCGCGGAAGCAAGACATAGTTATCCTACATTCCGTCGTCATCGAAAAAATTTAGGAGCAGTCTGTGAATAAGGTTTTCAAGACATCAATATTTTTGTCAAACTTTTATGGACTTTAAGAAACTTTTTATGTTCAAAAGACAGTTATGGAAATGTTGTAGTACTGTTTTCAGTTTTTTCCGTATTTTACCGATAAATGGACTCAATATGTCTTGCAGTTAAAATTAAGATACAGCGAAGGCAAAATGATAAGACATCAATAACGTGTATAAATCATCATAGATTTTTATGAAACTTATAGATAGAACATTATTTATGTTAAAAACACAATATCAAGAGTAAAATTATGAAATTGTTTTTTTTTTGTTTTTTGTTTTTTGCTTCATTTTCGCCGTATTTTCTGATGAAAGGACTTTTTTTGAAGTAAACATTTAGATACAGTCCACAGGCACTCGTCTCAGAATTTTTTTTCCTGTATACCTTTATATAACACAATGTACTTAACTCGCGATTTAGAAAAATGTCAGACGGTGACGAAATTCCGTTATATGCCGATTTCTCGGCTGCCAACCCCACTAAAACTTGTTATGTCGTAAATCTAAATTGATTTATCTTCACAATGGTGAATAACACGACTACTTTTGTTGTCGGAATCATCTGTAGCAGTCCTACCCAAGTATGTCAATCATAATTATTTCGTCTACCGACGATGGATTGGAAATAAACGCGTCATGTCTCTTTATATATCTCGGTTTCCGATTGGTCAATTTTATGGGAAAGTCTAAATGATTCTCAGAGTTATCTGATCTTGATTCATTTAATGCATAAAGTCAAGAGAGAGTTTGAATGACATTGACGTCATGGGACAATTTGTGTCTAAAAAAGGGAACTCGTAACTTATTAGACATACCACAAATAACACTTGTTAGATTTTTTTTCACGGTATCTTATACAATTTTACTAATTCGGTGATAAGTTCTATTCATACGAAAACTAACAGTTTGTTTCTGAAACAATTTTCATAATTAATCATTTACTGCGAGACGTTTATTTCCAATTTTGTGTCGGTAGACGAAATAATTACGATTGACATACCTGGGTAGGATTGCTACGGATTATTCCGACAACAACAGTAGGTGTGTTAGACACCATTGTGAAGATAAATCAATTTAGATTTACGACATAACAAGTTTTAGTGGGGTTGACAGCCGAGAAATCGGCATATAACGGAATTTCGTCACCACCTGACATTTTTCTTAATCGCGAGTTAAGTACCTTGTGTTATATAAAGGTATATAGGAAATTTTTTTCTGAGACGAGTGCCTGTGATACAGTCTGGGGTTGCAGTGTTTTACACATCAACATGATCAAAAAATTCAAACCTCCATATAATTGTATGATATTTTGGGAGACATTCTTGCAAGAAAACAAAAAAGCAACAGTAAAAACACAGTATTTTATCGTATTTTATTGATAACTAACTAGACTTATTTTTTTGGTAGTTAACAGTACATTTTTACACTCACAACAGCAATCGCACATGAAAACAGAGTTTCGCGGATTTCTTAAAGATTTTTATAATACCAAGTTTTATAAAGTCTTTGAGGAGCAAAATACGAGATGATAGCTGCTTGTGTGTACTGATTTACTCTATAATTGGTAATACAGATAAGCATAATATATCAATAAAACTCATTTTTTTTAAAAATGTAGACCAAATGTAATTAATTTTGAGATGCAAATCTTTTTAATGCCAATATGATCTCAAATCATATGTTCCTTTTTCCTGGAAACACAAACCAGTCAATTAAAAAAAGTTGGATGACCACAAGAGGACATTCAAAACTTGTGGCACCAGCAAAACCCAAAGACGACTAAAAAAACAAAAGTGTTAAAAAATACATGTTAAACAAAAATCTGAATAACACGAACCTAATTTACAATAATCGCATGTGCTCTGGAACGGTGAAAACAGATCCTACACCACTGATGGCATCCGTCTTGTACTGGTGATGGTTCTCATTCGTTGATGTCTAATTTTAAAAGCTGCATATTATTGAATATTATTATTTATTTTACAGGAAGGGTTAACAAAAGATACCTTGTTGTATGAAACATTCACATCTTCTGTTGGCCACAGGAAGAAAATGAAAGCTATCGATGTTTTTGCAGCTGTGATACATTTTTTCAAAGATTGTTAAAATGCTAGATATTAGTGAGGATTCTATTCATTGGGTTCTTACCGTTCCAGCTATTTGGAGCCTAATAGCAAAACAGTTTATGCGTGATGCAGCAGAGCAAGTAAGATTTGTTTGTTAATTAACAAATGTTTGATTCAATACCTGTCGCTGTTATCTACCGTCAATTTATTAATAAAACATCTGACATAATAATGAATTGATTACAATAGACTCATTGTAGATATATAGATTCAATCACTGCAACAAGTGTGTTACTATATTTCTTCACTCGAGACAGTGAAATTTTAATATTTAAAGCGCGAGGTTGGCCGAGCTTTTTAAATATTTAAATTTAAATGTTGAGAGTTGAGAAATATCGTAATACACAATTTATAGTGGTGGAATCTGTTTTTCTAATGATTTTGATTCTTCCTTTTCAAAGATTTGCAGAGAATGTGTTCTTTATACGTGACGTCATCAGGCATGGTCGTCTTTTTTCAGGACGTCACAATAGGAAGTTCAGAAGAAATCAAGAAAAATTTAACGTCATAATTAAATTTCGACCAATCAATTGCTGAGAACAGATATTTCACTAGTGAGGAGAAATATTTTTCTCACACCGTTCAAAAAATGTGAAAATAGCACGAAAATTAGAGAAACTAAGCTTTACTATTGTGTACGTCAGACGCGCATTTCGTCTACAAAAGATGCTGAGTGATACCATCGAGGCGATAAACCTCTACTAGCTATGGCATCGACCCAGTGGTTGTAAATAGACTCATTACAGATACCATGCAGGCTTAAACATTTGGTACGCCAGACGTACAAGCAATCAATCCAACTGCGATTACTGATTAATTCCAGTCGACTTCCTCAATCAGCATCAGTTGTTACTATAAATCAAACTCAATACAAAAATGAATAAATACCTAAATATACTTTTAACGTTAATGATATGAGATATTGAAACACATCTATTTACACCACAAATATACAAATCCATTAAACCTTGTTTAAACAAAAATCACCAAAACTTTAATAAAGGTTTGTGATGTGGATTGAAGATCAAACCTTAATTGGTATTAAACTATTCAAATACGGAGATATATCATGACTGCCAATAAGACAACTATCCACCAGAGTACAAATGACGTTGGTGTTAACATTTATACGGCCTTCAATAAGGAAAATAAATACCGTATAGTCATTTGTAATAGGCCCTGACATGAAAAATGCGAAAGAATTCAAACGAGAAAACTAACTGCCATATTTATAACAATCCAGTTTACGAAAAACAAACATCAGTATGTTGGAATTCGAGTCAGCTCTTAAGATGGAACATGTTTAAAACAGATTTTTACAAGTATAAACAGATCATCTTGCAAGATTGTGTTTTGGTTGTGGTCCAAAGAATGACTACCTTCATTTTCACTTAAACTGAGCAACACGAACCCCAACATAAACCGGTGGTGATCTCAGGTACTCCGGAAGGGTAAGTACTTCCTACTCCATATATGGCACCCGTCGTCCTGCTTATGTAAGTTAAAAACCGGCGATAAGTCTAATTTCAGAGGTCATATTTGAGGAAAACATGGAAAAGAGGACAGTTTTGTAACATATCCGTCGTCATCGATGAAACAGATATTGCATAGCGGGCAACCAACTTGTGATGGTGTTCGTAAACTTTTCGGAGGGATAATTCCAACTTCACCACTCCGAACTCTTTTTGTAATTGCTTCCTTGTAGGCAGCAACAATTTATCAAAGAAATCTTGATAAAATACGCAATGTCTGGATTATCTCATCATCTTGGAGATATATTCTCTATATGCAAGCTTTGATTGCTGATAAAATTGATGTTAATAATTACAAAAAGGTTTCGTGGAGCACTCGGAAGACCCTTCATTTTAACGTTGTTTGAAAGGACATTTATCTAATTTGGGTATCCACTAGAGCGAAGGAAGGTCCAGTTCTTAATCTTTGGTTACAATTCCACATAGAACACACCTATGATTACTTCAACTTATCACTAAGTATACATGTTCATTATGAAGTGAACTATTAGATTATGTTGATCTGTATGTAAATATGGGGTTTTGACCAAGGTTTCATGTTATTGGTTATTTTTGTTATATTTGAGGTATGTTACAGTTTTGTTTTAAGGAAGTTTGTGATCGTATAAACTTTAAACCTAATATTTAGACCAATGGTAAAGGGGTCTGAATACAGCACAAACAGCATTTTCCATAAGACCAAAAAAGTGAAAAAGTATATTTTAACAAAATGCATTTGACTAGCAGGTCGAACAACGGATGTTCTTAAACCCTGCTGACTGCCATATATGTATATATATATATATATATATATAAGTGCCTATAAATAGCAGCACATGACATACAAATCTATGGGAGTGTGGATTAATCAGTACAGGGATTAATTCAATTACACAAATAAAATTATAGATTGCCTAACAATGTAATTTTAACACACTATTTAGTATGTAAATATAAGAATGTTTAAAATATTTACAAAATGATGAAAATAAACGCAATATTTCGCTAGACTAACTAGCTTTATCAAGCGTGCATCTATCCAGGTGAAATCGGATGTAGATGATAAGAAACTTTTGCAGCTCAATGTATATGTTGCACTTGAATTTAGCTGCCTTGAAAATAATAAATAATTTGAATGAAGTTGATGAAGTTGATGAAGTCTTGAACTTCATTCAAATTATTTATTATTTTCAAGGCAGCTAAATTCAAGTGCAACATATACATTGAGCTGCAAAAGTTTCTTATCATCTACATCCGATTTCACCTGGATAGATGCACGCTTGATAAAGCTAGTTAGTCTAGCGAAATATTGCGTTTATTTTCATCATTTTGTAAATATTTTAAACATTCTTATATTTACATACTAAATAGTGTGTTAAAATTACATTGTTAGGCAATCTATATATATATATATATATATATATTTTTAAATCTTAAAGAAAATACACATAACATTATCTTTATGCATGCATTATACATGAATATTTTAATGTATGTGATAAACTGCAATCATTATTCTATACTGTTATATTTTGTTATGGTATTGTCATAAAACAAAATTGAAATAGCTGTTTGCTTTTTATATTTAGTGACCCTACCATAGTGTTTAATAGTTTCTTATCATGGTTTAAAACATGTATGTAAAAGTTAAGATAATTAATCAGTTAGTTCATTTATATGATTTTTTTGTTTAAAGCAACTATATGCACAGGATTTATTTGTTTTTACACAGTTTGATTTGGAAGAAAAACTGACATGGTTAGAAAATACAAATAATTACACCATTACTAACACAATTCTATATCAATATTCTTGTAATGGTTAGACAATACATCAAATAGCACCATTACAAACTTAATCCCAATTTAATATTCTATTTTTAGAAATTTACAAGTGACGTCACTTTTTGTGACGTTGATACATTCGTGTGACTCACAGTTCATAATACTATTGTGCTGTACTTGTGTACTGGCGGAAATTAATTTTAGGTGTTCGTTGTTATTCTGTGGTTTACATGTTCAAATGTACTATTATATTATTTATTTATGTATTTCTCTGTCCTGAGTGTTCATGCATTTATTTGTACTGTATTCCTCTCACGTAATGTTGTCATTTTAGCGGTATTTTTTAACATTGCCATATAAGCGGGAGGTTTTGCTAGCCATAAAACCAGTTCAACCCACCATTTTTTCTTAAAATGTCCTGTACCAAATCAGGAATATGGCAGTTGTTATAAAATAGTCCGTTTCTATGTATGTTTGCGTTTGTTTTTGTAGCAGTTCAGGGTTTCTGTTGTTCCGTTGTTTTCCTTTTATAGTTGATGTGTTTCCCTCGGTTTTGGTTTGTGACCCGGATTTGTTTCAGTTAAATCGATTTATGACTATTGAACAGCGGTATGCTACTATTGCCTTTATTTAAACAATTTGTTTGTACAACGATGCTGACCGTGTATGCCTTTTTGAGGACGATTTGTTTCTGGTTTTAGAAAACTTTGGAAATGGAGACACAAGGTGCTTAAAACTTTTCTTTCGTATTAGCAGTTGAAGTAGTAGATGGCCCTATCATCACATTTGGTATAATTATCTTAAACTTAGTTTCCAAACCGAAACAATAGCAATACCCTATGTTATTGAACCCAACAGTGGAATATGCGTTAAGTATGTAATTATTATTTTTCAGGCTGGGATCGCTTCCAATCAATTATCCCTTGCATTGGAACCCGAGGTTGCAGCGATGCACTATATACGAAACTCAAATGTTTCACAGGGAACAGAGGATGGAGAACCTGTTTTGAATGATGGCGACAAATATATCGTCCTTGATCAAGGGGGTAGATATTACTTTAGAATTGTCATATAATCGACGGAAATATTCAATGTTTTTTTCTCTCTCTGTAATTAAAAAGTATCGATCAACCATTTTCTTCTGTAGATTAATTGAATTTAAAAAAACATAGAAGTTGGTTAAGAATCAACGTATGCTTTTATATGTCCTTTTTTATTAGAATTGAAAGTTTATTAAGGGATGCATATATTAAATGTGGAGCTGAGTATTCTAAACATTCCGTAAGACCTGTTATAATCCAAAATCACAAATCAATATCGTCGAATCAGAGATTTAATGGGTTTTAACATGTTATGCTTTTATTTAGTATTCGTGATCTTTTTCTTATTATGCAATTATATTTTCGACATAAGGAAATGACTGTACCAATTCAGGAATATGACTGGTGTTTATCATTCGTGAGATGTGTTTGAGCTTTTGATTTTGCCATTTCTTGAAGGACTTTCTGTTTTTAATTTCCCTTTCAATTCGGTATTTTTTGTTATTTTACTTTTTTTATATAACAAAAAATGCAATTTAGTTCATTTGATGCACGCCTTATCTACATGAGATTGCAAATTCTCCGTCTTAAATTAAGAAATTATTGAGAAACTGAAGTTCCACCTCGTTCAAGCAATGGTGATCTTAGATGTATTTGGCTATTCTTTTTATGTTAAACGTTCTTTTGATTATTCAGCTCCGCACGATTTTGAGTACTTAGTAGTCCATGGCTTTTAAGTTTTTGAGCGTTCCTGAAAAGGTAAATCCACAATAGCGCCTCGGACGTGTTTTTTAATTATGGAGTTTTCAACCAATTCCTTCTATTAAAGAATGTCCATCAATTGATTTAATCAATTGTATATTAAAAAGCACGCGAAAAGTTAACAAAGAAAACTGTTGTAATAATCTGTTGATTGTTGCGGACCAGCAAGTACCAACCAATTTTAATTCAACATACATCAATCGTTTATATTCAAATATAAAGGTAAGAATCAAACACAGATTTAAAAAAAAAAAACATTGAAAGACAGACAATAACATTGGTAAACGCATATATTATTTATTATGTTTAACAAAAATCTACCATAGCTAACTTAACCTGCGACCATGTAAAATATTTACAGTTAATGTTATTATATGTCTTATAATATATCCAAACGGTTTATAACTACAGCTTGTCGTTTGGTTAATGACCATTCGTTAAGTATACCTTGGTGACATCAAAATGGGAAAGCGGTAAACTTATAGTACTGAGTTGGTTTTTCATTGAAATTAATCCTCAATATTTATTAGAAATTAGTTATATATAATTATATATTACTATCTTCTTACAGGTGGAACAACTGATATATCTGTACACGAGGTAGTTGGTAATAATTGTGTCAAAGAAATATACCAGTCATGCGGTGGAAACTGGGGTGGATCGACTGTCAGTGAGGAAATCTTCAAATTTATATCAAATTATTTCGGGCAAAATGTTATTAAGTGTTTCGTTGAAAATAGCGCGACAGAATATTTTGAGTTGATACACAATATTGAACTAGTTAAGAAACGAATATCTGATTCCTCATCAAAGGTTACGATTCGTCTGCCTGCAAGCCTTTTGCACGCATATGAACACGAAAAATCACTTTCCACAGTTCCCTATGCAGCACATGCAAATTATCAACATGTAGAGCTTCTTAGAGATAAGCTAAGAATTCCATATGAAATAGCTTGCTCTTTCTACAGACCCTCAATAAGAAGAGTCACGAACGAACTTGAATTTCTCCTCTCAAAAGAAGAATTTTCAGACGTTAAAATAGTATTAGCCGTGGGGGGCTTTTCACAGTCAAATGTTCTGAAAAACGCTATCACGGAAAAAGTAGGACCTTATGTTAAAGTCGTCGTTCCTGAGGACCCAGAGGTCGCTGTTCTCAAAGGGGCCGTTCTGTATGGATTTCAACCAGAAATGGTCACTGCAAGAATTGCAAAGTTTACGTACGGAGTTGCCGTAAAGAAGGTTAGCTTCAAAGACAAAGGAGTACATTACCATCGTATGTTTGTGAATGCACAATCAGACGAATTCGATATTCATGTGAAAAAGGGGCAAATGTTGAATTTCGGAGATTTTTTAGATGAACATTTGTACTTTTGTGAAGTGAATGAACATAAAGTATGCTTTCATTTTTTTTCAACTAATGACATTAATCCAGATTTTACAACTTCCCAAAATTGTACTATGATAGGAATTCTTTGTGTCGATGTTGAACCGTTGGAATCTAAAGAAATTTTATTGTCAGTTAAGATTAACGCCAGTGAAACCGACTTCCGTGCTTCTGTGACAAACGATCAAACTGGAAGAGAATGCAAAGCGGCATTCAACTTTTACGTATGATAAAGACGTCCAGTGTTACGAGTTTGTTAAATTTTACCTATGACAATGAATTTATACGCATACAGATGAAATTTACAATTTATTTGTTATAAATCATATCAAATTACATTTATTATTGTATGATTCTAATCGAAGTCCCACTTATGACACTTATAAGCAAGAATCATAACGTAATACAATTACAACATACAAATGACCTTCATACACAATATACTCATATACAAATATTAAATCTAGTAAAATAAGGAGATAGTTATATCCAGATGTAGCTTGAATGCTCCATCAATAGTATTAATTCGGATTCTTTTTGGAGATAAATAACGAAATACGCAATTGGAAAATGCACCTGTCTTTAAGGAGGAGTCTAAACAGGAAATGTAATGCACCAGTGAACGGTGTTTTAAAAGTTATTATAGTTCTTGTCTTGTCCTAACAAGAAAAGCAAGATTCTTAGATATCATGGCATGATAGAATAAAGTTGGGATAATGCCCTAAAATTGCAATAAAATTCAAAGTACCCAAGCTGGATAAACCATATCTATAACTTGACAAAAATTAATTGCATGTATTTTTCAGGCAGAACTTTAGAGGTTAGGGGATGGTGCTTAACATGAAATAATTAAGAAGTAACTCGGAAAATATTGAGGCAGAAGATGAGCTTCAAAATTTTTTCCCATAGGGTACCCGGTAATAGAAAGAAATCCATTTTTTTACGTTGGGAAAATACGATTCCTCAGTAAGAGTCGTACGCTTGGCTATGCTTCAACAAATACATATGAAGATGTTATCAGTTGCATAAATCTCTTCAAGTAAGAGACATTCATAAATCGAAGGGTCAGTAGATGGGTTGTTGCAGGACTAAACTTCGGACTCTATCATAAATAAATTTTGAGTAAGGTAATTTATCCAGTGGCACTCTCAATATCACGCCCATCTCTCAAGAGTAAAAGCAGTGTTTGAATGTGATTGGTCGTGCATATTTTATTAGGATTATGTTCCATGAGCCGTAGAATTAATTTAATGTTTGAACCGGTGAAACTTTTTGATTCAAGTTTAATTACAATTACTCTTCCCTTTCTATGACATATTTTTTCAAACGTTAAAAAAAAAAAAAAAAATCTACTCAACAGAATAATCAATAACTTGAACAAGGAAATGAAAGACTGCCTACAATTTGAAAGTCAGCTATCTAAAATGTGCTCGTTACTTTTGCTTGGGTAGCCACAGCAGTTTATTATTATTACAAACCGCCATTAAGGACGAAAAATCAAAAAACTTCAAAGAACTATTTTCATATAAACGACTTTTTACATTCGGTTCAGTTTGAAGGGAAAATTAAGTGTTTTCCGATGATTTTGTCGTGTGTAAAAGACAAAACATTTTTTTTTCTCAAATTGCATCGAATGTTAGCTTGCGTTTACTTCTTTTAGTAGCTCTTACTTGACCAAGTACCAAAATGTATTACCACAGGGTAGATAAGCTGTCTACAATTATAAACTCTAGAGTCAAAAGTCGTTAACATAACTTTAGTCGAAATAGACAGATTTTGCATTCATAATCACCAATTAGTCAAAAATAGACTCCAGGCAGTCTAAAACGTTAATAATAAACGTCAAATTGGAATGAAATATCAGATCTAATAATTTTGTTCCCACATACGCAATTTTTTACGGACCCAATGACAGTCTATTCATTACGATGATGCCTGAAATTATTGCCCAATAACAGTGTAGTCATCATGATAATGCATGAGCTCCGGTCCCAATGACAGTCTATTCATCATGATAATTCACGAGCTTCGGACCCAATGACAGTCTATTCATCATGATTATGCCTAAGGTTTAAGCTCAATGACAGGCTTTTCATCACAATAATGTAATCTAAAGTTATTCTGCCAGTTTATAGGCTGGGGAGTTCGGTATTTCTGGTCTTTTTGCTTAGCTGTTCCTTGTTGGCAAGGGCTCCGGTTATGAGCAGTGGGACTTTATGGAGACGATATGATATCAGGTGCTTTCGATTTTACATCTCTGATGATAACAGTCTCTAATCCTCTCTTGTTGTCATTATAATGGAATTTTATGCGACTGTCATACAAGTGAGAGGTTTAGCTAGCTATAAAACCAGGTTTAATCCATCATTTTCTACGTATGAAAATGCCTGTACCAAGTCAGGAATATGACTGTTGTTATCCATTCGTTTGATGTGTTTGAGCCTTTTGATTTTACCATTTGATTAGGGACTTTCCGTTTGGAATTCTCCTCGGAGTTCAGTATTATTGTGATTTTACTTTTTTGCACACTTTGAATGCAATAGGGTTGGTGTAGGTAAATAAAAATCTGTTCTATTTAGCCTTTTTTTATAATGCACAATCCCTTGTGCTGCATGACCTAGTCTGGGGATAAACGTAAACTAACAGGTATTTTTTTTACCCAAATTGTTTTCCTCCCAGTCAATTCTTTCAAAATAAATAATGCCGTTTGGAACACAAACACCGTCTTTAATACATTCAACCTCGTACATAGTAATACTTTTCAGGTATCGCTTAACCTCGTAAGCACAAAGGCCATGTGAAAACAATTTCTATTGAATTTTGTGACCCACATTTATGATGTTACTACACTAAATAGGGTGAATATACATTATTATAGAAAACCGATAGATTTGACAGTACAAGAGAGGCGAAAGATACCAAAGGGACATGAAAACTCATAAATCGAAAATAAACTGACAACGCGATGGCTAAAAAAGACCAACAGACAAACAATAGTACACAAAACACAACATTGAAAACTAACAACTGAGGAACACGAACCACACCTGGGGTGATCTCAGGTGCTCCGGAAGAGTAGGCAAATCCTGCTCCACATGTGGCACCTGCAGTGTTGCAAATTATTTTCTGAGTGCGTCTGGAAGTACAACATATGCATGATATGCTCCAGACGTGCCTTTGAGTGATTTTTCATCTATTAAACAACAGATTAATTTAAAAGCGATGCTGACATCTTTTCCCTACCAACACCCAATGAAGCCTTATAGGCAAAAAGTAGCCTAAAGGGTATATAATAATGTATTTAGTATAGAACATAAGAGCGTTTTGTCAGAGTGACCTTTTATTTGACGATACCTTGATAGAAGACACGCCTTTGTGTAGTTCTGAAAGTTTTTACATAGGCTTCAATTTTTTAACGACAGCGATTACATTTCCTATATCAAGGTCAAAGCTAAACACTTTATTTGACATCCCCTATTCACGCTGCGTCTGCATTGTGATTTAACTTCCAAAACAACTGATTAGAAGATTGGCAGACAGGCACATATCAACACTATTGCAGGCGAAAGGTAACCGGCATGTGTCGAGGATGTGCGACATCAAATAAGTCCTTCTCCACAAGAACAAATAATCTTTTACAATCGTAAATAAAGACTTAAAAGCAAGTCTATGCTCTGATTCCTCTGTTTCTGTATTGTCTGACGGAACCGGTGTTGGTTTCAATAAATATTTCGTAATGTATGACGAAAGGTTGACAGCTTTGACAAAAAAATCTGTATTCTCGATCTTTTTTACCTTTGATAGTTCATTACTTTCATTTGCATCCTTCAATAAATGTTCTATTTTTTGGAGTTTTCTGCATTATGTAGCGTATAAAAATCTTACCACGTGGCAATTGTTTATCTACATTGTCTACATTTACATGTGAGCATTTAAAAGGCGCTTTTTGATTGAATGCAGCCATTTACAGCTGGGTCAATATCCCTAATGCGACTTAAATTGAGGAACACAAATGATGTGCGTAAACAAAAAATCTCTGTGCAGTGATATTTGACATGTTTCTATTTTTAACAAGTTACTGCTAAGCTTAACCATTTGTGTTGATTTGGAGAGTAGAGGACCATAGAATAAATGTGTAGAAACTATGGAGTTTAAATTTTCAAATAAAATTGAGAATGGAAATGGGGAATGTGTCAAAGAGACAACAACCCGACCACAGAACAGACAACAGCAGAAGGCCACCAACAGGTCTTCAATGCAGCGAGAAATTCCCGCACCCGGAGGCGTCCTTCAGCTGGCCCCTAAACAAATATATATACTAGTTCAGTGATAATGAACGCCATACTAAAATCAAAGAACTTATTGTGTGAAAAAAGGATTTTCGGGGTGTGCTAATTTACTGAAAAATGAATCACACGTCGTACCCCGAAAATTTAACCACATATGTGAAAATGTCTCAGCTTCGAAACGAGCCATCATAGATATCCAAGTTTACGATATGGACTCAGCTACAGAAGAAAATGTTACCATTACCGTCTATGGGAAATCATTTACGCATACTGACCCAGCTCCTACAAATGGAAATCATTACCTCGTAAATCTGAATGCTCAACGACGGTTTTCATCATGATCATGCCCGAGCTTCAAGCCAAATGACACAATATTCATCACAATCATGCCCGACCTCAGAACCAATGATAGTCAATTCATCAAGATAATATCCAAGGTTCCGGCCCAATTGCAGTCTATTCACCACAATAGTGCCCGAATTGTAGGCCCAATGAATGTTATTTATATGTTATTCATTATATCATTGTATATGGTAAGGGCTCCGGTTATGAGCGATGGTACTTTATTTTTACAGAGACGATACACAAGAGAAATCGGGAAGTTTCGATTTTACATCCCTCAGGGTAAAAGTCTTTTGTTTCTTCTGGGGGTTGAACATTTTGGATGCAATTGGTTTGCTGTAGGTATAAGGTTTTTTATTGCCTGGGTTATTTTAGCTATTGCCATGATGTCAATCCCTTTTGCTGACTAAGCTTGAGGATAAACTGTAGATGAAGAAATTTTTCTTGACCATAATTATTTTTTCAAAATTGTCAGATTTGTAAATAATTAATAGAACTTGAAAACCGTCTTGAATACTTCTATGCTCGTGCGTGCCAATACTTGTCGGGTGTCGCCTTACCCCTGCATAGGAAGCACAAAAGCAATGTAAATGAAAATGTTTCGATCAAGTTTGTGGACCCTTTGTATGATGTTACTGCACGGCTTTCATAAATGGAATGTGGTGAATATACATGTTAATTTAAAAAAAATACGAAAGATTCGATAATACTCATTACTT